ACTCTGAACAGATATTTTCAAATGTGCATCTAGATAAAAAGAAAGACCAAACGTTTTTTAATTGGACTAAGATGAAACACTTTGGAATATTAGTTTGCATAAGACTTTTATATAAAAAAATTAAATTGGTTTGTATAAGACGTTTAACAAAAAATTAAAGCGTAATGAAACAGGATGAACGATCTGATTGCATCAAAATATCCATCAGTCCGCATTCCATCTTACTATTCAGTACAAAGTAGCTCCGTATGTTAGAACTTACATGTTGCTTCATGTAGTAGACGATTGGGAGCATTCAAAACCAGTGGGCAAGTCACTCAAAGGTGTCACGGGGCGGTCGGGTAGCCTAGGGGTTAAAGCCTTTGCTCGTCACGCTGAAGACCTGGGTTCGATTCCCGACATAGGTACAATGTGTGAAGCCCATTTCTGGTGTCCCCCGCCGTGATATTGCTGGAACATTGCTAAAAGCGGCGTAAAACACTACTCACTCACTCACTCAAAGGTGTCACACACAGAACTGGTTGCATCCCTGGATCAGATGATTGTGGGTTCAAATCCCAGATTCGCTCTACCTATGAAGCTTGGTTTGCCAGCACTAAAGCCTGAGTTTCATCAAGTGTTAAAAGTGGTAAACCCATACCCTAAATTTGACACACTATCATATTGATATACGGTTCAAAGTGGTGTTAAACCAAACCAATTCACCAGATAACTATAGTGATTGGTCCCAGCCTTTCTCAAATTTCATGGCATAGCCAACAAATGATACAGCTTGCGAGGATCTTGACACAGGGTAGTTAGATAAATTAGGTATATAATCAACAAGTCAAAACCATAAGACCGTAAGATAATACCCTGTCTCTCATGGTCATACAAAGTTGTGTATGTCTAGCTGTCCAAAGTGAATGAAACAATGAAAGCATTCATTTAACTTCAAATAGATTTATTTCAACACAACAAAGAGTAAAATTGGCATATGCAAATCATGCTGGCGTATCCAACACCAGGGTCAGCGTAAGGATCACAGATAGGAATAACAAGCCCCTAGCATAACATTCGGTTCACACTTCCTGTCACATGACCACTTGGATTAGGGCCACTGAATTCTTAAATAGGGACCATCTTAAAACAGACATCCAATGCCCAGAGTTCTTGAAATGACACAAGGTGATAGAAAGTACAAGAAAACGTGGCATAATGTGAAATAAAACCATTCAAATCTTTTTTTCTCCCAACAAAATTCATTTGGCGCAAAAACAATGAGGGGTCATTGACAGGTATATTCAAATGGGACCAAATAGGGTTAACCTCATTATGGAGAGGTTCAGCAGTAAAGGAGTTAGGTAATGCTGGCTGATTATCTTGGATAACAGATTCACCACAGTAAAATTACTGCCAACGAAACCCATATTTAAAAGTAAATGAAACGGGGAAAAAATAGAAAAAACAACTGAAACTCAAAATCAATACAGAGACCTGTTTTAAAAAATGTAAATCTTGAATATGATCTGACATGTTGTTTTTGTTTCAATTTGACACACCTTTTTTTCACAAAAGATAATCTGTAAACCAAGAAACCTGTTGCCTTCCAAACCTTCCTCTAGAATCACAATAGCTTTAACAATAGTAGACAATAGTAGACAATAGTAAACAATAGTAGACAATACAGCAGTGAGGCTACATACATATTATCTACAGGTATTTTGGCAGAGGATTCTAAACAGGTAAAACAGTAAACTTGCATATCTAACCAGATGTGTGCTATACAAATATAAAATGGTGGATGCAACAAACAACATGTATTTTTTAATGGTCAATATACTCCTCTCATATGCATTCAGTGAGCACTTTGATCAACAAAGCAATCAGTTTGAGCAAAATATTATTGCAAAAATATGCCTGAAATGATGTTTGGATACTCAGTTTGACATAATGATGAATGTGACGATGGCTATAACGTCTACACAGGTACATACGTTAATTCATTCAACAGTAATATATTTCTATATGAATATTTTTTTAAATGGTTAATCCAGACCAACCTAACATCTTGTTTCTATGGATTTTCCTGGCAAAATGCAAAGATGCAGCACGAAAAACAGGAAAATGCAACAAGAAATAATTATGTCCGACATTGAATTGCCTATAGTCTCATGTAAAATACTGGCAACTGATGCTTTAAGAATATTAGTGTTTTTCTGCAGAATTATATAGATTTCTTCATGTTGTTTCTACAAGCAAATCAATTCCTAATCAATAGGTCGACTGACCAGCTTTGATCGTTGGTAAACGGCTAAGTCGGAGAAATCAGGCTATATAAGTACTTTCCCACATACATTGATTAACAATAGATATCACCAGGTAGTTTCCCCCTGCTCATCAATACTAAATAATAGATTGTGTTATTGTGGACCTGGGAGGCCCACTTGGTCACTGACAGTTCAACCACGGAATAACAACATCAACTGCTGGTATAAGGATCGGCAGTAATTTGTCCATTGTATTTGGGACAGGCTGTAAACCTGAAGTAGAGTATAGGTGAATGGACGGTGCAAAAGTCTGGTTCCCATGGTGACTAGTAACGTCAAGTTGTTGTCATAAGAGGTGGGAACAGGCAGCAGTTGAAATGAATGAAAACAGTTTGTAAATAGTAACAACAATGTGTGTATATATATATCACAGCTGACTGACAGCACCAGTTCGATAGTGTCATCCACAAATTGAACTGTCTATCAAACCTTCCTTGCGTTGTTAAGTATGATTATAATGAATGTTGAAAAGATGGCAACCTAAAAATTGTTCTTTCCATGAGTCAAATCTAAATATTAAGGCAAATAGTATTTACCGTATTCGACCCAATAAGGACAGAAGGGGTGGGCGCTTATTGGGACCAATTCAGAGTCAAATTGGCGTAAATTCATCAGTAAGCCTTAAGTCACAAATATCTAAAATAAACAGAATACAGTCATGCCCCGCTTATACGGACTTCAAATATCCGGAAACCTCGGTTCCCGGACGATTTTCATTTAAAACAAAATAATTACTATATAAATTTCCGGAACCAGGGGGGGGGGGGGGGGGGTGTGTGCTTATTGGGTCGAATACGGTTTAGAAATTTCCAAATGGATTACTGAGTGATTAACAATCTACAAGTTCACAAGCATATGGGGAAGGTTTAACGTTGATAGCTTTGATTACCTCCTCAATACATGGGGAGACTGTTAGTGAATGTTTAGGAATTACATGCTATCAAATATCTTTTTAGATGAATGAAATATTTCAGGACATTGACTGAGTGACATCCGAGTAATCCCGTATTTCCATAATACATCATGCGGGCATTGCTCCAAATTTACATGTTATGATCACAATATTCTACATATGTACTTACCCTGTCTGATAAATAAATACCTCCTCACTATGAACAGCTAATAATGTTTCTCACAACACCAAGTTCAGATTAATGACAAGGAGGAACTCCATTAAAAAACAACTTCGTCAATATTTTAAATACCAGGTAGCCATTGCTAATTTTGAATGTCAAATATCCTGAGTGAACATTATAAAACCTTCGATGAAAATGTTTCAAAATAATATAGTATGCCGTTCTATTTATTCACGGGACATAAAGGTTTTTTTGAAAATACATGTATACATATTCTTGTTTGACCAAATAGGGTTGTATCATTGAGAGTAATGTTTATTGGTTTGACTGTTTAAAACTATGCAGTTAAACACATGCATCATATTCGACGTAATAAGCGCCCATGGCACTCTAAAAATTAAAAATAGGGAGCTCTTATTAGAATATTATTTTGGCGGAAAAAAACAGAGTTGAAAGATTAATTTCGTGGTTTATGCCGACAGCCTGAAATGTTTATATATGACAGATATATTTTTCCAGAATTTAATTGCCCATAATTAAGGGTGGATATAAAACAAGAGTCCATATTATACATTGATCAATCGGAAGGGGTGCTAATTGGGATTGTTCACTAGCCAATATATTAGCAAATATCGCCATGGACGCTGATGAGAGCGGGGTGCTTATTACGTTGAATACAATATTTCTTGGTCTTTGTAAACTATACATAGAAGAATATATCTGATTTCTGATTATCATTGGTTTATTAACATCAGTGTTAATGCACATTGTTTCAAGTCTAAGACATGCAGGACACATCACAACAGTTAGGGTTAGGATTTAGGGTGCTGGTGTTCAGGCGCCTTACTCTGAGAGTCTGGGTTCAAATACTGGATGGGTCTCCATCCGATAAGTACCAGAAGCTGTACTTTACTGAAAGTGTAATCCTAAATATAACATGTTACATTTGACCACTTTCTAGAAAGCAACACAACACTACACCTTGGCAGTGAAGGTTCACTTGGTGTACTGTAGGGCTGGGACCAGTCCAAATGTACTACCCGGGTACCCATCCCCCTATTACCTGACCCTACCCGGGTACCCACTGTAAGTGTCAAGAGATAGGTACAAAATGTCCAATTGGGAATAGTTAGCCTGTAGCCTTGGACAAAATGTGTTTAGGTAACATATAAAACGATCTGGTCATGCATACACTGAAGCTGACATATTAAAGTCAGAAGGAATGAGTGCATAGTCAGAAAGAAATGCGAACATTAGTGACTTGTAGTGTAACCATATGGTTCTAGATCATTTTTGTCATTAAACAACATATCACATGACTGACCACAGGTCCGGGTAGTCCTGTGGGTACCCGGGTCCTCAGTACCCACCCGACCCGACTACCCAAGTTACCCGTCCCAGCCCTAGTGTACTCATTATTAACAGGAAACAACAACAAATGATCTTTGTGTAATAAATTACACACAAACAAGATGGCAGATAATAAACATGTGTTGACCAGCAGCATGTTTTCAGCATTACAGACATGACAAGTACTTTCTTAAAAGCACCCAGTTCTATAATAAACTATTCAATGTCTTCAACTAAAACAAATTAAAACCGTTTGGAGTCTCAGTTGGATAGGATGATAGTGACTACAAAACTGCTCTAGTTGAATGGTTTTGGTATGGTATTGGTATTTCTAATTAAACATTGATTTTGGAACATAGTCTAGTGTAATATAAATTGCTATACATTCACAGCAGTTTGGGTTCTTAAATTAAGTGAATCTACCATTTCACAGAAAAATATTTGGAAAAACTTATTGACAACACCATAATACTATTTTTTATGTGTATTATATTATAAAGTGCATTAGATGGGTTTTTTAAGTTGCACTTATCAAAGCTACAGATAACTTTTTGAGCAATTGAGTCTTTACTCGAAGGTTTCTAATTCAATTGGGTTATTACATTTTTCATTGGGCAACAAATATTATTTCTCATCTATTCATCACTCTATTGGTTTTTTCACAAATGAGTAAGCATTTTGATATTTTAAAAAAGTGAAATAACGTTTTAGATGTATATAATGGTCCTAAATATAGACTTGACTCCAAAAGTAAATTAGCTTGTAATTGTGTATCGGAAATTAAATCCGTTGTACGCATGCTGAAAAAACTTCATTGGGTATTTACGCGTGCTGTTTTTCAAACAATTTCCATTTAATGCATGCGTTTCTGTATGCAAGGTAATTGAAAGTAATTGGGTTTTGAATAGTTTTGGGGGGTATTTTACACAAATACGCAGCTTATCTGTAGCTCTTCACAGATGAAATGAAACCAAAAGGAAATTCTATTGTAATTTAATACATCTAGGGCATAAAAAACATATTTATATGTAATTTGTACAAATTTACACAATCTTGACGTTATCACAGAATTTATTACTGGCACTCAGGAAACAACGGTCTCGGCACTCTACATGCAAATAAATATACATCTTTGAAATTTGACTATCCCATATACACAAAGTCACTTGCACATGCGGCTGATTAGAGAAGGATCAGACTTATCGACGCGGTCTTGCTCGGCAGTTGGGAATATGCTTCTCAGCTGTGTTGGGGTTAAAGTTGCGATTGCACGTTGGACAACGCACATAGTCTGGGTTAACAGTTCTAGGGGGTGGGGGCAGGTTCTGTGGTTTCACGCCTTGTGCTTCCATCTCACTGACCTTCTTGGCGTAGCGGATTGTCTCTATGAAACTCTCATGCTGAGCACGCCAGTCTTTCTTTTTCTGAAATAACAAAATATTCAAACGATAATTTATAAGTCCAATGATGCATTTGAGTGAGTGAGTGAGTATGGTTTTACGCCACTTTTAGCAATATTCCAGCAATATCAATGCGGGGGACACCAGAAATGGGCTTCACACACTGTACCCATGTCGGGAATCGAACCCGGGTCTTTGGCGTGACGAGTGAACGCTTTAACCACGAGGCTACCCAACCTCCCCTGATGCATTTGAGGAGATTATTGTGCAACATATGTACAATTAATGTATGCAGAGGTCTAGTTTCAAAGGGCACTTTCCTTCTCTCCACTGTGCACATTACCAACACATATATATCATGACCCCTGCCAGAGCCTTCGTGAGAACTATGATGTAGCACAAGGATACCTGGTAGAAATAACCAAATGTAAAAAAGAATATTTCCATACAAGATATTCTTATATTCCATTATATGCTTTAACTTGTCACAAAAAAATGTTTTTCATTTCTTATTTCTTTCACCAAAAGGACAATACCTACATTTTTAAGATTTAAACTAACCATGTTTAAAACTAATTATTATCATTTTTATCTTAACCACCACCCTATGTGTTTTTTATTAAAAAGATTTACACCATGTGTTATAAAAAGAAGGTTTCTATGTGTGTATACACATACTTGTTTACAAACTACAACAATACTATATATACAGTACAATCTAATATGTATTTTTATATGATTTTAGTTTCCTCTTGAGATGTTTTCCACATGAAAATTGCAGTAAGTAGTAACATCAGCACAAGCTACACAAAGTATTGTTTTGCTAAAACAAGAGATTACATTTAAAAATGGAAATGAGTCACTGAGGCTGCCAAAGTAATGACTCAGAATAACTGGAAGAAAAACATTCGTGACTGAAATACATTACTGCAAGACTTTCCTGTTGAACATTCACACACTTTGAATCGCCATGCCGGGATAAATAGATTCAATATGTTCATTCACACAACACCACTCTAAGGAGGAAACCTAGTTCATCCAATGTTTCTCTGTCTCAGACAATAGTATCTTTTTCTAGACCAAATATATGCAAAAATTATATCATGCTAACCAATTTAAACAACTACTGCATGGCCACAAACAAAAAGGCTAACAAATTACAACAAAACCTTTAAAAATAGTCTTGAGACAATGTCAAAATAATTTTCATAACCAAAAAATAAAACTTCTCAAATGTTGTTATTTCCAGTCAACACTCACATCAGGGGATTACAGACTCATGGATAACACAACAGGTAAGCTTAATAATAAACCTGCTGTTTGAATATTAATTTTATCCTTGATAACCTCTACACTCCTCTCTGTGACAAATCAGTAAGCATATTACACCTGAAGGTCTTAAGTTAAGCGTAAGCCGATAACACAAAATATAGCCCAACTCTTGCATGTTATTCAACACGTTTCAACACCCAGGCATTAGTCAGTATGCTACCATTCTCAACAATATCCCCTTGGCTGTCTTCATTGTGAGAAGTCATGTTATTCATGCATGCCGTACACAACACAAACAGGCAACATGGCAACTCTAACAGTGGCGTGCACTCACAAAACACCAGGATTAAAGACTTCGCTGGGGTGACCCTAAATCTCTTATCGCCCACCAATCTTGAAACAGGAACCTTTGTAGGGTAGTGTGTATTTTCTACCTGGTGTCACAACAGACTGGCTGAAATAGTAACAGCCCAGATAACCATTCAGTCGTACCCCCTACTGGGGTGACCAAACACTATCACGACCTGTTTTTGAGATACTGGATAAGTCCTGGGTATCGTTGTACAAAACAACCTTAGCGCTACGACAGTCTAGGTCTATGTTAAGGTATGGGAGTTACGATCACCTCAGCACTAAGATCGCTTTGTACGCCACCCTGTTCTGAAGACTTAGTGTGTGCTTATATCAAATAACCGGGTGTCATCTTGAATATGAGCATGTGGTCCAATATTTCAACTTCATCGTAACAATCTTATAAATGTTATACAGGATAGGATCCGATGTTCAGCAAACACCCACTTGATGTGTTATAACACTTGTGCTATATAAGTTTTATAACGTCATGTTTATGGTTTAACGGTGACTATAATTCAACTTGAAGACCCGACTATGAGAAGAGAAATGTCATAAATTCAGGAAGGACAAGAGGTGAAACAACGACATACTTGATGTTGGCATGTTTATGGAGTTAGCTTTAACAATCATTTAATATATTTGTCATAACAATGAGACAAGTGGTTAAACATTGAACATACTTAATGTGTGATATAATATTCATAATGGATTTTACGTGGATAACTGAGGGAAATCCAGAAATTAAATAGTCGATCCCTTATTCAATTGGGACCCGGTGGTTGAGCAGCGAAACAAACAAAACAGAAACCAGTCTAGTAAATTATGACAAGGAATGTTATGTAGAACAACAGCTAGCACATACCAATTGTGTTAGCGTTAAAGGTATCCTATGGGCTAGTAGTGTGTGTGTGTTTCTATGTGTGTGTGTTTCTATGTGTGTGTGTTTCTGTGTGTGTGTTTCTGTCTGTGTGTGTGTGTGTGTGTGTGTGTGTGTGTGTGTGTGTGTGTGTGTGTGTGTGTGTGTGTGTGTGTGTGTGTGTGTGTGTGTGTGTGTGTGTCTGTGTCTGTGTCTGTGTCTGCGTGTGTTTGTTACAATGACCTGTAAATACTTCTGATTGTAATAAAGTAACAAGTCCTTTGCAGATAATTATACAAATATTCATGCTTACATAGATTGAATTTCTAGACTAGCAAAACGTTGCATGAACACCTGACTGGAGAAGTCAAGTCAATAAATCAGCCAGTACTTTTCTACGGAGTCAAACCCATCCTTAAAGCAAGCGTACACAATTCAACTTACTGGTTGTTTCCTTGGTGTCTTGGTGTTCCCGACATACTTGGCCATCTCAGTTCCTTCTGTCCTCATCTTCGCGGGATCAAATGTTTTCCTCTTCTTGTTGGCCTTCTTGCAGGCAGCCTGATGTTTACCAAGCCTGTCGGCAGCAAACTTCCTCCCACACATCTTACAGGGAAGAAGATGTACGTGTTCTCCCTGGGCCTCACTGTCAGCAGCAGCCTGAGCATAGAAGTCTACATTGTTGTCTGGAACCCGGTAGTCATCCTCGGGCGATGGTGTACGTTCTTTAGGTGGTGGAGCTCGCCGCTGACGCTGTTGCTGTTGCCTACGCTTGTTCTCTGCATTTCTTCTCATTTTCTCTTCCTCTCTTTGAAGTCTTTCATCTTCCTTCCTTTCTCTTTCTTCTTCTTGCATCCTCTTCTTCCTCTCTTCCTCCATTTGCCTGTTGTGCCTCCTTTCTCTCTCTGCCTCCATCTTCCTCTCCAGCTCTGCTTCCCTCCTCGCCTATTGGCAAAATAAATGGGGGATATGATCATGATGAATAGACTTGGAATGATTTGATAATTATTTCAGATAACAACCTCCCAAATGTCCAAATTATGTTCCCAATTTCAGAACATGAAACTAGGCCTCTCAAATGACTTATTTCCAAAGTCTCTCAAGAAGGTGATTTTTATTTACTCATTGGATGAGTGACAATATTCTTGAACGTCAAAACTACATTTGATACTCATCTGACCACCAAGTGAAATCCTCACGTACAATTCAATTGTTGTTTTACCATGTTTACAAACCAAGGAAGACAATTTGGAAAATGAAAGAAGTTTTAATTTGAAATGTCATAATGTTTGAGATCAGAAATCTTTTCAATACTGGTGAACACTCAAAAGAAAAAGCTTGACTGTTGTCCTCAATGAATATGTGTTAGTGGCATAATCCACTATGTTTCAAGGGTGATGGCTTAGCTTTATGTGTATTGCCCAGATCAAGTACCATAGAGACAAGCATGCAAAGAATTAAATACAGTTTAATCATGTTAATGTTCCCTTGAAACATTATGAGTGAGTGAGTGAGTTGGGTTTAACGCTGCTTTTAACAGTATTCCAGTCATATCACGGCGTGTCAGCTTAATGTGGGAGGAAAGCCCGAAGTGATGCAGGTCTCAGACGTTTACCACTTCGGTGAAACCCAAGAGCATAGGTATGGTGCTGACAAACCTAGAAACATAATCAGGGCGAACCGGGATTCGAACCCACAATCATAGGTTTCTGGCGTGCCAAAGGGACGCAACTCTGCACAGCGAATCGCGGTGCCTCAGACGACTGGGCCACCCGTGCCCCCTTGAAACATTATGATATCAGGTAGCAATCTCTTGTATGAGTGACTGACAATTGCATGCACAGAAGCAGATCGAGGCTGTCACATGGTCACAAGTAGCTCAGTCTTCAGTGAACTCAGGCATAGCACATGTAACGCCCACAAGTTTAAACCTTGAGTCTCGCACAGGTTAAACATTTCTGTGTTTACCCGTAACAATGTGACAGTGCATAGGTGGAACTAGAGGGGTGCCATAGTGATTGACCCTTCTCACCCTTCTTTGGAAAATTAAATATATACACGTCAGTTACATTTCAAAGGCACAGCAAAATTTAACCCAGGTCCCTTCTCATTTGTAAAGGTTCCTCGCAGTGATCAAAAAATTGTGGAGCTCCAGCTTTTAATGAATGAGAGTTTCGCAACAGCTTACTGTTTGTTGCCTACAATAGTTGTGTGTAGGGTACTGCTTGCATTAATCATTAAAAGTCATATATATGACTCTTTTATTCACACGGTCACACAGTGACTTGGGTAGCTACTGTACACCCTCTCACAGTCAATGTCAAATGTGCTTCATTACAAAATGCTTTAAAAAATTCTTAACAAAAATCCAATCAATTCTGCTTGGGCGTTGGCGCATTTCCCACTGTAGTGCAAGGAAGCTCTTTGAGACAGACAAGAGGAACTTAACAATGGTGTTTACTTGTACTGTGTGTGTCTATAGATTATGAAGCTGGGCTGGGAACAGGGGACAGCAGCCTGGATCAATGTGTATAGGTTCCCATGGCAATCCTCACAATCTGTTTACATGAAATGCCAGGCTAGACTCTACTAATATGGTACACCATGTCATCCAATTGATTGGGCAGACTCTCTTTCACATTAGGTGTCAGACGAGCGAATATGTATCGAGATTGAAGCTTTGATACCTAGGCATGTTTATACAATATTCATGTTGATGGCGTTGTATGGAGATATCTAAGAACTGTTGCAGAGGGAGTGTGTGCACTGATGTATCTGCAATGGGTGTGCACGTACTGATACTGCTAGCATCCGGCAATTTATTATTGGAGTGTGTTTTCTTCAGTAACACTGATCAAAACACATCTGTGACGTCATTCTATTGTTTAAACTCTCTATTATTTTTCAGGAATGGAGACTAGTTTGTCAGTTATTCATTATTCTGCAAAAACATTTCACTTATTTACACATGAAACTGACAGAACTATTTTGTTATATGTTGACAAGGAAATGATTTCATATTTTGTCAAAAACATATGCCACCAGCAGGGTTTCGAACACCCATCGTTTTTTTATTTTGTTTGTTTGTTGTTTAATGGCGCACTCAGCAATATTCCAGTTATATGACACCCATCGTTTCATTTGAGGACATCTAATTGTCAACCTCAGCTACGGCAACACATGACAGTTTAGTGTGAAATAAACTATTAAATATTTTCAAATAGTTGCATGATCCTAAGGGATTAAAGGAGACACCTCATGGACTATTATTAGCTGACCATACTAAACCGAACAGACTTTTACTAGACTCTGGCTTTCTGACTAGCAGCTAAAGTCACGGTGATATGCTTTACTTCTTTTTCAGCTTAGGGACTGACCATCGGGATTTTTATGTAAACATAATTGGTTCCAGAAAATAGAAAAAAATAATTTGGAATTATTCACTGCAAAATAGCACGTCTTGAAGCAGTGATGAATCCAAGATTCCCCCTACCTCTAAACATTTCACAGGTTACTTAAATTAATTACAGCTTGATGAAAATGGATTATTGTGCGAAATACCAATTACGATTCCACATGGTCATCAATACGTAACCTACATCTTTAAGGTTTAGCTTATATTTCAAAATGGAGAACTGGTCATTGGAGTAATACTTCATGAAAGTACAAAGTTCAGAAGATCCTCTTGAAAGCAAACAATTATTTCAAAAAGAAACCGTGCAAAGCTAAGAATCATAAAATAAGGTAATCACGAAGACTTTGACTCTAATTCAATAAAAGACTTCATTGGGAATGTCACAGTAGCTCAAACATGCACCTAGCTTGTCTCACGACCTGGAACTATACCTAAGGACCTCAACATCAAGTCCTGGGGAGATTGAACATCATTAATAATGCACTTGTGTCTTGACAAAGACAACTAGACCCACTCTACAACCCCTGAGTATGGCACTGTGTTAATAAGCTAGAACCCCCTTGACAAGCCATGCTGCTTTCTCACAGGCATTGGTTCTTGTTGAACCAGTGTTCCATGTCCATGTTTACAAATCCTTTACATATGAATGGTGTTTCAAGGCAATGACATCACAAAGTAACAAACATATTTTTATCTATGTTTGGCACACTAGCATGAAGAAAACAATGGCCAGTATTCCCCAGGGCTATTCCACCTACTTCATCACTGATGCAGAACAATCAATTTCCATTTCCACCAGAGAAATGCAAGCGTCACACATCAGCTGAGAGACTTTTCAGGCAAGTCAGCGGTTCTGTCTTTGGGTGTGGGAACCAGTACCAAAGTTCTTTGTAACCAAAGGTAGCACTAGTTTTACTAAGGGACCAGTTCAAAAGTTGGATGTTAGATACAAAAATTAGTTCCTTAAGTTTAGAGGTGGGAGGGTGTTAATGGCCCTGCAAGTATTCCATCTGACAAAATCAACTAAACTAAGCCAATCCTTTTTTCATTTGTATGCTGTTAAGGGCTGTCATTAGATATATCTAGTCTTTCCACAAGGTAGGAGTTTAGTGCCAGGCGTAATATAGAATGGCAGATTGGATCTATAACAAACCTACAATTGGTGAGGTGAAATGGGGTTTAAAGTCGCGTCCAAGATTATTGCTCTTATATATATAGCGACGTGCATGTACGTGTGTGTTTGTGTGGCTGCTTGTACTAGACCGGACTGATGCCGATTTATAGTGCTAGCTCACTGAGATACCATGCCGCAGTTTAACATGAATACCCAACTCAGACACAGTATACTGACTCCGAGCCGACCAGTCCTTGTTTTAGCCCCTTAATGCCGAGCGCCAGACAGGGTAACAACAAGTACCATCTTTTAAAGTCTTTTGGTATGACGCGGCCGGGGATCGAACCCCGAACCTTCCGTTCTCCGGGCGGACGCTCTACCACTTGACCACGGAGGCGGTCCCCCTACAATTGATTTTCAACACCTGGTAAATAAACTTCAATCGATAAACGTCCTGAAAAAGAAGGGCAAAACACAAGAATGCATGACTAAAAAGGAACCCAGGAATTTAACATTTTCAGAACTAACTTTCTTTTGGGGGGTTGCAGGGTCTGTCTCAAAACTTAAGGAATTAAGTTTTTTTATCCGAAATCAAACTTTTGAACTGGTCCCTAATAGTGGGGGATATTTTGTAATGTGTAAGCAAACAACTGATACAATACAGGCTGTTTCCAAGCAACACCTTCATGAATTGAAAATATACTATCCGGGTATTAACAATTCAGTTGAACATGTACACAATGCAACTTTTAGTCAGCAAGTGCATTTTTTACGCCTCAGTCCAGCAGTATTCCAATTGTAAGTATATTTGTAAAGGGCCAGACAAACCAGTGGTTGATAGCCTGTCAAGGCATGATAACACACATAGCAACGATGATTTACAAAGTGTGCACATCGGTCTTTAGGTTTATACCTCCATAATAGCATAAAAATATTGAAGTCAATTTTATAATTAAATTGCAAGACATATGGTTAGAAGAGGATAACTCATGATACAAGCTCAAATATTCAAATATCTTTTTGATGAAATAAAATCTGAGAAGCCCTTTTATATTTTTCGCACCAACTGACCAGGAATTTCCAAAAAAGAATTCTGAAAACCAAGACATAATAAAGTCTTGCCTTAATGCTGATCAAAACATAATGCCTCCCAAAACCAAAACATGTAGAAGTGGATACGCAGATACAGTGAATGAGTGAGTTTGGTTTTACGCCGCTTTTAGCAATATTCCAGCAATATCACGGCAGGGGACACCAGAAATGGGCTTCACACATTGTACCCATGTCGGGAATCGAACCCTGGTCTTCAGCGTGACGAGTGAACGCTTATACGCAGATACAACAAGGGTTATATAACTATCAATCTCTGGCGTGACTCAGCATGTCAACATCTAATATTTGTCAAAAATCTCGTAATCTCTTCAAGTGGCTTCCATATCAGCCCCTGTTCATACGGCACCAATTGCTTCGAAATAATGACTGATAAAGACCCTTAATGTCAATACGCGATATGACTGGTCAAACACTGACCCACACACTATCTGACCGGTGTCACTTAATGAGATACCATCCAGGAAATGAACCCTTTATACACTGAAACTTGACCTACAGGAGAACTGTCACATAAACACTCGAGAATCATCCCATTAAAGACAGGTTAGTTTATTGCCTAGTTTAATGGACAAGGTTTCCTCAATGTTGATAAAGTAAAATAAATAAAAGTTACAAGTTACAATGCTCTGACTGAGAAAGAGAATTTTGTAACATCTTGTGGTTAGTACTTTTGCTAAAACCCTTATTGCAGATAGACTTGTTGTCACTGATGGACATAACACCCTCATTGCCTGTCACTAATGAGCTACGCAGATTGTGTTAGAGTTTGAAGATTAAGTTTTTGATCTTTTCTCCTGTCCTTCAAACTACCCAAACATGTCCAGATTATGGTAAGGATCTTTTGCATTTTATACAGACTTGATGTCAAAATGTTTTATGTTTATTGATATAATTCAATTTTGAGGAAATTTCGGACTGGTCTGTAAAGTAGGAAATGATAAATAAAATACATCAGAGATGTATCAAAGTGCATCTGATAAAGTGGACAGTATACAAAGCATATTTCATGCACAACCAGGGCTCAAAAGTTTCCAAAATTAGAACGCCAATGGCATGGTTAAAAAATCGTTACGGTAGGTTGAAATATATTCGTAGTGCTTGAAGGGCACACTTCGAAATTATTATCAATCTCAATGAAAAGAAATGGAGCAAACTATCTCAATTAATACTTCTTATTATCTGCCTCATGGTAAATGGGATTCAAGTTCGAGATGTGTCAATATTTTCTTCTTGTTTGCACTCTTTACTTCCACAGGGCATCGTTGTGAGTAAAACGTACAACTTTATGAATAACAACTTGCCAATCATACAGTTATCTTTGTGAGTGTCATGAAGCAAATTTTAAAAAACTCAGTTCTATCCCTGAAGCTATAAAGAAAGTATGTGCTTTTCCTATTTCAACCCATCAAAACAAGGGTAGGTAGGGTGTTTTTGTGTGTTTCGTTGTTGTTGTTTTGTATTTCATTAGGAAACAGTAAAATTTAAAGTTAAATTCTGCCTGGGGATGGGAAGCATAACTATGATGCTTGAGCAAACCAAGTCATCATCAACTCACCTCTTCTTCCTCCCTCTCCTTCTTCATCCTCATGGTTTCCAACTCCTGTTTATGTCTCTCGATCTCCTCCATGATCTCACGCTGCTTCTCCTCCAGGTCATCCTGCACATCCTGGTTCTCCTTGTCTCCGTCCGTGCTGTCCCCCTCCCCCCACGGGCCCCCCTGGGGGCTGCGCCCGCCCACAGGCTGACTATATCTGTCTAGCCTCTGCTCTCTGGCCTTGTTCTGCTCCATCTGCCAGCGTTGAAAGTCTGTCAGTTTTTGAGTACCTTCATTTTCATTCCTCTTTGGAGGTGGAGCACCTAACCGTTTTCGTTGAAAATTTCGTAAATTCTGTAAATTCGGAGGTGGGCTACTGTCATTGCTACTAGTTCTACTATTGTCTTGTCGCACTTCATACTGTCCATTAGGAGAGTGCATCGTGTTTGCATTATTATGTGCATTTCCTGTATTATTAGGCCTTTGTCTGGCAATTCTTGCTTTGGTTGGCACTGGTGGTGTTCTCTTGTCAAGGGGCTGTAACAAGTGAGCTCGGTCCTTCCCGGCACTATTTTTGCCGTATCTTGATGAAGAGTTTGATGCATGACTACTAGCACTGCTGTGACCCCCTGACGAGTACCCTCTCCTCATCATACGATAGTGTTCCTCAATAGGAGGGGAGTTATACCCCTGTTGTTCCATCTGACGTCTCTGCTGAAAGAACTGCCGAGCAGACGGACTCCCTGTTGAACTATTTCCACTGTTCTGGCGTTGACCAACTTTAGACAATGCCCGTTTCTGTTGATCTTCATACATCCTAATCATTTTCTCTTCTTTTTCACGGAGTAATTTGGACTGGAAGTCTGCTTGCAGCATTTCCAGCTTCGAAGGCTGTTTGTTGAGAGGTTTCTGACTCATCCCGACTGGTGTGTAGTGAGGTAGTTTGGATGGAGATGTGTCTCTGTAAGAGGAGTTAGGAGGAACTGCAACTTTGTTCATTTTGGGTGCAATGTCCTTGCACTAAGTCGTGAACACTGGAGTGAAAAAAAGCCAGCAGTGAGGTGATGTGTGACACATGACAAGCAAACTAGACAAAACACACTAGGCAGCCTTAGAAATTGTCGGTTGGGGGTTAAGACTAGTCCAGAGGACTAATGTACTAATGTAAACCTTATTTCACTGGTCCTCGGAGTTTGTAGCTAATCATGCTTGAATGAGAAAAATTGTTTACTACCGTATTCGACGTAATAAGCGCCCCTCTCTAATAAGCGCCCACCACAAAGTTTGCTAATATATTGACAAGTGAACAATCCCATTTAGCACCCGTTCCGATCAATGTACACAAGACTCATTTATTTGTGTATTATACGCACTCGTGTGTTATATGCACCCTTAATTATGGGCAATTAAATTCTGGAAAATATTTCTGCTGTGTATAATACGCACAGACTTTTCTTTTGTATCATTTCAGGCTGTCAGCATAAACCACGAAACTTACAATCTTTCAACTCTGTTTTTTTTCTCCAAAATTATATTATAATAAGAGCCCCCTATTTCTAATTTTGAGAGCACCCTGGGCGCTTATTACGTTGAATACAGTATATACATTTTCTGTCAGTTTTACTCAGTTCTAATTTGTAGCATTCTTGAAGCACTGACAACTGGTTCAGAATTATAGCTCTTAAATGCAACTAGCCAGTGAGGACTACCATCATTGGATTTTTTAGCTTACCGGTGAGGATTTTGAAGGCTGTTAAGGATGAAACAATACACCAAAGTCATGTTACACTTAATGATAATCTATGCACTATTTCATTATAAAATTATGTCAGTTGATGTAAGAAATACAAATAATAACTAAAGCTGATCTCTTTCATAAACTAATTTTTTGTATGAAAACAATCATGCAGTGTTTGAAATTAAGGGTGATCTAAGGGTTCTTTAGCATAGCTATCATGGTATTTCAATTGAGGGACCCCTAAATCTTCAATTTTAACGGAACCATTATGACAAGGACCCTTGACTTTCATGCTTAATTTCAGACTGTCACGTCATCTTGAAACAGCACTAATTGATACACAATAAACAATGAATACTGACTGTGTATTAATATGACAAATAGGCTGTTTTTAAACCCATTTAGGCTGTTAGAAGTGTCCAAAACTAAGAGAGATTCTGGGGTCCTTTAATGATTGCTGCAATAGTAATTTCGATCTTGGGATGGCTAAACTTTTAATGTTTAGCATTGGGGTAATAACAAGGGCCCCTTGAAATTCATGCTTAATTTCAAACACTGGTTAGGATCAGTTGGCTAATCAGAAAACTCATGAATTATTTTTTTCTGGTTTGGCATTGCATTGGAACTTCTGTTATATAGTGAGATGCCTGGTACTATCATGTGACAGACAAGGAGCTCTTTTTAGGTGATTATCGCAGGCAATCTCAAATATCTCTAATATGCAATTAGCCAGGCTTGTGACTAGTAATATATCACAGTATCCCTCACTATCAAACAACAGTAGTTCCTAATACATGGCCAAAACATGTTATTGAATGTACTATATTTACATCACCATCATGCTATTAAATTTGACCACCAGATTGACAACAGTAATCACTAAACAGAAAGGTTAATAAATCATTGTAGCAAGTTAAAATAGTTGCTGGTCCACTTGAAATAATACAGGCCATGGTATAATTAGCAAGAAGCTTTTTAAAACATGGGTATTCAGTACCCAAAAGCATTCATCTGGTAGCCAGTTATTTACAAAATCAAATAAATTATAAAAGTTTGAAAGTGAGTACAATGGAATGCTTCAATAACACAATCAACTTGGCAGTCCTATATGCCAAGGTAAGTGCAACTGTATAGTATGACTCCTGAACATGACAACACCTTACAAAACCAAACACTTAATTAGTTGCTAATACTATGACTACGTGGGAAACAAACAATGCAGGTGCTAATATTCAGACAGTGAAATAAATATAAAGATGGTGTGTTGAACAGCATATCAAACTGTATGAACTTGCATGATAAACCTAAAGAGTGATCAAAGAAAGCATAAAAAAATAATAATGTAATGTAGAATTTCTAGTGAATGTTCATCATTGAAGAACAGAGATATTTTTGTAAATTAACAATCTTAAATCGAAAAAAGGCTTATCTATAACACAATTCAGGGTAAAAATATTACTATTATTTAGAAAACTGAAGGATAAATTATCAAAATAGATAATACTGACATGGGATAAATCATGGACTTGTATAACTTGTTAGGGCCAACTTGTTATATAGGTCCTTGGATTAACAAAGTTCTTTTATGTGACATAAACTTCTAGTGCTGGTGAAATTCTTTATGTATATATCTGACAGATAGATCTATCAGTTTCTACATCTATCTTACACCTCTTTTCATGTGAACAATACCAGCCTAAACTTGGCATAAAACCCTCCTTTCTTTCTTGGGTAGTGATCATATTTGCCAGGCATAATGGTCACGTTGATTCACACTATAACAGCAAAATCAGCATACAGCTATTTCACACCATGTACACTTCACTTACCTGGAAATAAATGACTGAGCTACAATTCCAAATGAAGCTGGATATGCGCCAGCGATATGTTCAAACTGAAAAGTATAATAAATAACACGCCAGTGTGTCCATATCCAAGATACCGTGAAAACTCATGTTTACGAATCCTTCCGTGAGTATACGTAATCACACAAGTCCAAAGTTTACCAAGTGAACTCCAAAGTAGCGAACGCACAGGTATTGTCACGATTATCAGGAGACTGAACACACCCCTAACTTTACTGCATCCTATCAATAAATGTCAAGCAACTACGTGGGTTGGTCATGCGTGCGCCGCCATGTTGTTTACATTCTCTGATGCTAGGTAACGGTCAATAGATCTATACCTCCGACCGAGTTTCATGAATGACAGGCTGTTATCGCACACCTGCAGTATATACAGACTATATTGTTTTACCATGGAGCTAGATGAATAACTACAAATTACACGTACTAGTCATGGTTCCACTTGATTGACTTTCCTGTATGATTGTTTTCCTCTTTCATGGTTGACCCTTCACTTCCGGAATGTTCAGAACGTTGTGCTTACGTAACAACATATCGCAAAGAAAGTAAAAGTGGGCGGAGCCTCTTCGGCGATAACCATGTATGGCAGAAGTGCCGTTGTGGTCTAGCAAATGTGTTGGAACCGCATAGATATTAGAATTTGATTTGAAGATGCTTTCACAAAACACACATAGGTGATATCGGCCATGATATCATATGGACTAAATACAATTTAAATCACACTAGTTTTTTATGCCCCAGTGCATGTGCGTTGTTTCAGGTAATTCACAGGACCATGTAATTAATATTCTATATCAACAAACTCACAGACGGAGCCGAAGCATAATAAACCATATACAAGGTAATCGGAAAAGGTTATAGTAATCTTAGCAACAACTCAATCATTATTTTCGTAGCATTTATAATAACATTTCGTACCTAATCTTAAGAGGACAGTCAACTTATTCTGGATTGGATAGTGATATACAGATATGCTTTTAGAGGATAATCATGTAATTGCGAACAGAGTTGATTGACTGATTCAGAAAAAAGGATTGTTTTCGGAAGAGTGAGTGAGTGAGTATGGTTTTACGCCGCTTTTAGTAATATTCCAGCAATATCACGGCGGGGGACACCAGAAATGGGCTTCACACATTGTACCCATGTCGGGAATCGAACCCGGGTCTTCGGCGTGATGAGCGAACGCTTTAACCACCTGGCTACCCGACCGCCCCGTCTTCGGAAGAACGTAGACTAAAAAAATATTTATACATGCACTCTTGACAAGATGTGAACGGATGTATTCACTCAAAAGATTAACGAGTTACACCTCACAGTCAATGTATAGATACTTGACTAAAGTTTGGTCTCTGAGAATATCTACTTTTGATAGAAACCAGCAGCTTCATGTAAATTGAAAAGGAGCCCCGGTGAAGGAGATTCAGAACCTGTGGAAAATCTAGACTTGCTTCATTTAGAGCTTAACATAACAGTAAGGGCAGGGCGGACAGGAAACTGATATGGTTCCGGGACTGTGAGACAGACTATGCATATATGTGTCCCAGGCTTTAATTGGTGGTTCAGAAACTCTGAAATGGAGTTTTGATTTTCAATCTCAATTCAAACACATCTCATTGAAACATGAGACGCAAAAAGACCAATTACGAGTTGTGTCATTAACAAAGAGTATGCATCATGTATATACCGTGTCTGTATACCTAGTAGACTAAAATATACATTATTACCCATAAGCTATATGCATTCTTGATATGTTGATATTGAATACACGAGTATTCGGGTTTACAGTTACTGGAAGGAATTTAGTATGGATTTATACCTCGGGAATTTGTTTGTTTTGGGGGGAAATATACATAGACATACATCCATATACACATCATTTGGAGCATTAGCTTGTCCATGTGTCCATATTCCATATAACGGAGCTTCTCTTTAATTGTCCTATTGTGTTTACAGTTATTGCCATGGTAATACCCAATGAAACTAGAATTACTAAGCGGTCAACTAATTAATTACGTTCAGTTAATCACCTCTTTGTATATTAATTAATTAGTCAACTTCTCTGCATTGTCATGCGATTTATGTGTTTAACTGCGTCTGTAGCGTAGCAAATCGGATTACATTTTGATTTGGTGGATACTGATTATTTTAGCAACTGGGGAACGAGACTATCTACTACAAGTGATACAAACGCAAACTTTAAAAACACGCAGAGACGGTGACACTGAATCTCTAAACTCATTGGGTGGGACTTTGTAGGACATTCTTCTGCAACAGCCTAACCCAACAACACCATATTGTTACCCTTGGAAACAGCCATCCTAACAAAGTCTAACCCCATGTGACTATTTCATGGAATGAATCAAGAGAAAAAAATCTCAAACAAGAAAAAAACACTGAACAAGAAAAACCTTGAAAATTGAAAACTCTCAAGAATACAATAAAATCTATAATAAGATGAAACTATAAATTGAATAAATCTATCCGGAAAAAGCAACACTCACACAAGGAGATATAGCAACGTTCCTGTCAAACTTCAGTTGGGTACTGAAGACAAATTGAAAATTGAAATAGTGAAATAAGAATTGATGCGGGTCAAACGATCATGCAAAACGTTTGTCTGCTCTTGCTTGTACTACAGGTATAAATAAGTTGGTAAAATGTGCAATTTGATCAGCACAGATTTGAGAACATGGACCAGAAAATCTACCATGTATAGCACTGTTGGATAGTTACCACATGGTTTAACTGTAAATTGGGAGAATAATAATGATAGGTCTAGGTCAGCAAGAAGACTAGAAGATTTGCCAGTGCAGTTCTGGCCACACTATAGTTGTCAAAAAGCACTCGTAACAAATTCCACTGACCACTATTATTTTCGATAGTCTCCAACAATTAAAATGGGTAAAAGGGATTGCATTTATATAATTGGGCATCAGGGCCTAAAAGGAGACATTAGTTTGGAAGTCTGTGTAAGAGAATATTGCCGTTTGTCCATAAAATAGAACAATTATGCGTCATAAACAGTTTCCAACAAGACTGCGAAAACGTTCGCTCCTTCAAAAAAGAGCAACAAGTGATCCAAACATATATTCAATGGTTTCTCTTAAAGGTATAAAAACTTTTATAAACTTTGAATTAGAATCAGTCATCACATTTGTGCACTGCTCCTTTTAGACAGATTGTTCCCTTCTCAGTTCATACATATTATAGCATGAAGGCTGCTCAATATATACACAAGTATCTATCCTGCATCTCCACCATATAGCGCGTTGTGGGACCTGTCTTCTACTACAATTATATTTTGGTTGGTTGGTTTGTTGTTTAACGCCGCACTCAGCAATATTCCAGCTATATGACGGCGTCTGTAAATAATCGAGTCTGGACCAGACAATCCAGTGATTGACATCATGAGCATCGATCCACGCAATTGGGATTGATGACATGCATCAACCAAGTCAGCGAGTCTGACCACCCGATCCCGTTAGTCGCCTTTTACGACAAGCATAGTCGCCTTTTACGGCAAGTATGGGTTGTTCAAGACCTATTCTACCCCGGATCTTCACGGGTCTACTACAATTATATACTTCTTTGTGGTGTTAAATACACTACATAATAAGACTGTTATACTCAACATTTTATATCCTCGTAAGTATGGATTCAAGCCTCTGTGTATCGAGTCGAGACTCTCACAGAATAAAAGATCTATTAAACATATTTTACTCTATACTACCCATAGACTTTGGGTAAGTGCGTAGGTTTCCTAATCCCAAGTAGAGATCAACTCAGTCAGAGGTTCAAATAAACGTGACTTCGACCTTGCGGTTAAAGAGCCATGTCCAGTCTTCGTGGGGGTCTGAATCAATAATTACGGAATGCACTGCATAATAATACGAATGTCATGCTCAACACTTCATATGCGGTAACAATGGATTCTAACCACTGTGTATCGAGTCGAGTCTCTCACAGGGCCTGTAGGCGGTTATTGAGGAATGGCACCTCTCTTCCATGGAGATCTCCAATTGTGAAAACTTCAAGCAGATTTTAGGATAATATATGCTTATATATCATATAATGCCTACCTTGAATATACACAACAATATAATGCGGTGTGCTTAACTGTCATGTCGGCACTCCTAGATAAATAAATTGGATAAAGCCGACCTCATTGATCTCAATTTCATCGCACCGCCTTCAGTTATTTCATTTTAACATAAACAATTTTTACTAAATCTTGATTGTTAACATAGAGGTGGAACAAACAATAAGGCATATGCACATTAGACTGATTGATTTGTTGATTGAAATGCATGACAAACTTGACGCGAGTGAGTGAGTTAGGATAAATCTGCTTTGTACACAAGTTCACCGTTGCAGAGCTGCGAAATCGTAGCCATGTACTGATACTATTAACTATTTGGCATGCACTAGTGTGCATTAGCGGCCACAGGGGACCCGTTCAAGTGATCTTAGCGCTACGATTGCCGTATGTCTACCATATGCTAAAGTAACGGAATCACGATCGTCTTAGCACTAAGATCGCTTTGTGGGACGGGCCCGTGTGGACGTCAGATAGTAAAAGCGGAGCAGCACTCCACATACTATTGCGCAGCAGTGGAAAGCCCAAAGTTATGCAGTTCCTAGATTACGGACACTGTGATTAAACCAATGAGGGTATGGTGCTGACAAACAATGAATCAAATTAATGACGTTTCTGGGATTCGAACGGGTGAATATCGGACTGTTGTGCGACTAATGTACGAAACTGTCCCTGCCCCTGACGCGTACTAACCAGGGTCCTTATTTTCTTCCATATTGTGAGTGAGTGAGTATGGTTTTACACCGCTTTTAGCAATATTCCAGCAATATCACGACGGGGGACACCAGAAATGGGCTTCACACAATGTACCCATGTCAGGAATCGAACCTGGGTCTTCGGCGTGACCACTAGGCTACCCGACCACCCCTCTTCCATATTGTGTTGCAAGTAAAGGTGCATGCGTATTTAATTACTATTCTTATCTATTGATTTCAAACTGTTAAAACCCTGTCATGGTTTGGGGATAGAAAAAGGTTCCTTGAATATTATGCTTGTTGTAAGAACCTACTACACTTGTTCATTTGTTGTTTAACGCTGCACTCAGTAATATTCTAGCAATAAGAAGAGTGTCTGTAAATAATCCAATCTGGACCAGACTATCCAGTGATTGACATAGTGAGCAATGCAATTAAGATACGATGACATAAAATAAATAAAAGTCCACTGTCTGACCACCCTATTGATTCAGTTGCTTCCTACAGACATGCGTAGGTTGTTGGGGACCTATTCTAAACAAGAATCCAACAGGTTCTGAGACTTAAAGTGAGTGAGTGAGTTGGGTTTAACGCTGCTTTTAACAGTACTCCAGTCATATCACAGTGTTCCAACTTAATGTGGGAGGAAAGCCCGAAGTGATGCAGGTCTCAGACGTTTACCACTTCGGTGAAACCCAGAGCAAGGGTATGGTGCTGACAAACCTAGAAACATAATCGGGGCGAACCTGGATTCGAACCCACAATCATAGGTTTCTGGCATGCCCAAGGGACGCAACTCTGTACAGCAAATCGCGACGACTGGGCCACCCATTATTATTGTGTCTTAGATTTAGTAAGTACTTATATCTATATAGCACTCTTATTTCACTTTCCATATATTGATGCAGTAACACTATTTTATAATTACTATACATTGGGCTTTTAAAATGAACGAAAAGGATCAACAAATTGCAAAGTAATTGCAAATATTTAAATACTTGAATCTGATACAAAAGAATCATGCCAATCAAAGTTATCTCCCTTTCCACACAAAAAGTTATCATCTACTGCTGCCAGAATTGCATATTAGTTACAGGTTTTGGAGAAAAAGTGAATTCAGCTTAATGCTGTTTTAAAGAGTATTACAGTTATACTGTAAACTACGGTTATAACAAACTCAAAGGGGCCACTAATTTTAGTTTGTTATAGCCGTAGTTCATTATAAGCATGTATACAGCATATATACAGCAGTGGCCAGGACAAAAAAAATATGTTCGTCATATCCGTCAGTTCGTTATAAGCGTGTTCATTATAAACATAGTTTACTGTATCATGTCACATCAGCTTAGTGTGTGATATCTAAGATTGATGCTCCCAACAAGGGAATCCTGGCCACGCAAAGGGACACAGCCATTCACGGTGATTTGCAGTGCCTAAAATATCAATTTGGCCCCCCTTTCTGTTGTTCGCAACATACAGAGAAACAAAACACAGACCAATTTGTGATAACATTATTTATTTAAATGCTGTTTGTATAATGTAAATGTTGTTTAGCATTGTAAACTACTAAAATTTGTCAGAGTAAGATATATACGGGATGGTCTCCTGATGATTTAATAAACAAGAGACAGGTTTTAGACAACAAATGTAAAGTAAAGTCAGCAAAACAATAAGCAGCAAACACGTTTTCCTTCTAAACAGGAACACATCAGAGTTTACAGACTATCAGTTTAATAGACAAAAGAAATTATAAACAACTATCAGTATATTCAGAATTGTTTTCTACCCATTTACATTACCCATCAAACATTTACTATTTTTTGTTTAGATTTTCATTAACCGACTTATTTCTCAAATATTCAGTGGAAATAACTGAGAATCACGCAAATTCCCTTCACCAATAATTCTCCCTCTAATGTCAATGTACAAATACCATACATGTGTACAAGTATATTGTATTTGACATATCTTTGTATACAATCTACAAATATAGGATCATTATGCAGTAATTGGCTCTCCATACATATACATTGATCATCGATCACATTTGTCAATGTGTCACTACTGTATGGACAAAAAAAACTAATTGCTACAACAAAACCACAGTAGCAACAAAACATATGTTTCAAAAACATGCAAACAGTAACATGATAATAGACCAAAAGAAATGTCATAAATATTGATAATAGCAAGTGTATACATGGTATACGCATGATATATATGTATAAAGTAGTTGACAGTATAACACTATACATGGTAGAACTGGACAACATGGCAAAGACTGGGACTGGTCATTTGAGTAACGACAATGATTGGCTGGAACGTTTGAGACTTGTTACAGAGTTTACCGAAACCATTTATTAACTGTGATAAAAGAGAAACAATTACATCATGTACCGTTACCAATCCATTTAGACCTGATAAACACTACACAGGAACAATCTCATTAAAATCAGATCTTAGTTCTCGCTGCCGCGAAACAAAGATCTGAGGACATTCCATTACGGGTCACGTCAGACCGACCTTGCACGAACTTTGACCAACCAATGTAATGACTGACAAGAAGTCTACATTAGCCAATCAGAAGGCAGCTTTCTCGTGCTTTACGGCACTAATTTCAAATTGGCGACTATGCTTCGAAACATATTTTGACAAATTCTCAATAAAAAATTTGAAACATGAACAAAAGAACATCTTGGAATGGGTAATAGATGGTCTAGATTGCATGGAGTGAGTGAGTTAAAATTTAACATCACCTAGATTGTATGGATTCAGTCGTTAAGCCCATAACTATCGTCCAGAATACCCCGTGTTAAAGTTTTCGAGGTTGCATGATTAGAAATCACATTCCGACTGTCACTTTCATGATCTGGTTTGCGACGCTCTGATTGGTCGGATGAAAGGTCGTTTTGACATGACCCCTAATGGGATGTCTTAAGATCTTTGTTTAGCGGTAGCGAGAACTAAGATCTGATTTTAATGAGATTGTACACAGGAACTTTGACCACACAATCTAAATGAGAGATGTGTAGACTCTAGAGCGAATCAGGTGCCAGACTTAAAAAACAATTGTTTCCTTTCTTTACCATCATGACTCAGAAATTTTGATATTAATAAAAGAAACCTACACAGAACACAAATATTCCCTCCATTGTACACCCTCCATGTCCACAACAATATGTTAGCATGGCCTTTATTCTTTTAAATTCTGAACTGCCCACTTACATTTGTTATGGAGAAATCAGACATGCTTCTCTGAATGCTTTGTTCGCTTGTACTACGAATTTAGCAACCTTAGAGTTTATTAAGGGCCTCAATGGAGGGTTTGTCAGATTGTCATGCAGAGAGGTGACGTATCTGCGTGACAGATCGGATTTTAATGACATTGATCATGAAAATGCCCACAATTTCAACAGGTGAGCTTCAGTTTCAATAATCCAGAAGTTTGTTTGTTTGTTTTCTGTTTAACGCCGCACTCAGCAAAATTCCAGCTATGTGACGGCGGTCTGTAAATAAATAATCGAGTCTGGACAAGTAATCCAGTGATTAACACAATGACCATCTTTCCATGCTATAGGGATACGATGACATGCATCAACCAAGTCAGCGAGTCTGACCACGCGATCACGTTAGTCGCCTCTTACGACTAGCATAGTCGCCTTTTACGTCAAGAGTGGGTTGCTGAAGACCTATCTTACCAAGGATCTTCATGGGTCTAATCCAGAAGTAATGCAGCAAGAAGGATGCAAGCAAATTGGAAACACAATTATTTCACCTAATCTACATTCATCACAGACAATGTGTAGCAGTTGATTGGAAAATAGATCATACTTGTGTAACACGACACAATGAGTATGATACCACTTTAGAACATGATTATTCTGCAAGCCATGATTATGCTGCCACAATATGCACTGCATGATGTGGTGTTATTCTGCCACAATGACCTCTGCAACTTAGTGCAAGCCATGATTATACTGCCACAATATGTACTGCATGCCATAATTATTCTGTAACAATGTGCACTGCATATGGTTATTCTGCCACAATGACCACTGCAAGCCATGATTATACTGCCACAATGACCACTGCAAGCCATGATTATTCTGTGACAATGTGCACTGCATATGGTTATTCTGCCACAATGACCACTGCAAGCCATGATTATACTGCCACAATACGCACTGCATGCCATAATTATTCTGTGACAATATGCACTGCATGATATGGTTATTCTGCCACAATGACCTCTGCAAGCCATGATTATACTGCCACAATATGCACTGCATGCCATAATTATTCTGTGACAATATGAACTGCATGATATGGTTATTCTGCCACAATGACCTCAGCAAGCCATGATTATACTGCCACAATGACCATTGCATGCCATGATTATTCTGTGACAATGTGCACTGCATGACATGGTTATTCTGCTACAATGACCACTGCATGACATGGTTATTCTGCCACAATGACCACTGCATGATATGAATATTCTGTGACATCGTGGAGTGACATGACAAAAAACTAAGCTACTATAAGCTGTACTGATATCAAGATATCATGGCGCATCCAAGTCACGAAGAACTGTGAACATCTTCAGGTGTGACTTCAGATCCTCAAATCAGGCTGCAACCATGGCAACTCTCCTCACTCATCTGTATGAACACCCATTTGCCCAATGTCCAGATCTCCCTACAAATATACATTGCAGATATGATCATTTGTAAGAAACAATTAGAAAACTCCCGATATCCATGTTTGTGATAGCCATTGGCAAAGTAAAAGTGATTCACATCAATAAATAAGAATCAAATTGCACCATTTTTGGCTCTTGGAAGAAACATGCTCCTAGCTTTGTGTGGGTGAAGCGAATCCTTGGAACAGTGATGAGCATGATTAGAGCTAGGGGAAACAAAGACATGATGGAGTCCCCCAAAAATAAATTTGATAATATGATGGTAACTACATTCCAGTACTTTCAAAGTGCTGTATCTGAAAGGAGACTTTTATTATTGGTCTGAATGTATTGACGGCTCCCATCATGCTATCATTTGACCATCTTCCCGAGGCAAGGTTGTTAACTGTCTGCAAAAGTATATTTTCCACCGTTGCTGAACTATGCTGGAATATCGTGGCTAGAAAGTAGTGCCACCAGTGTACAAATTATGTCCCTTCTATATCCCTCCTATTGACAAATCAGATTCCATCTCCCACATCACTTGCATTTGCTTCAGAAAATTTGGGGCAGCACCCAGTCAAAAAGATCTGATTAATAATCAAGATCTATATTGTAAAAAACGGGTCTTGCCCATCGATGAGCATCAAATCATTTGAGCAACTTTATTAAAAACATGAAAAGATTTAGAGAATATCTGCCCAGGCTCAGTTGACAGTACACATGCTTTGCAAATCCTGCAGTCGACCGAAATCTGCACATTGAAATCCATGTTGTTTGCGAACAGGATATCTAGTACATAGACTCGTTAGTACAGCCAAAATCTAAATGCGGAATTCCAGCCAAGTTTCGGGAAGGTTAGAAATTGGACTATTACAGTTAACGCCCTTGCCTCGGAAAATGTCATTAGACTGGCTTGTTATTTTACGATGCAAATCATATTGGTCCTCATATTTACCTACTTTAGGATTGTGAAACATTCAGGGAATATAGAAATGAATGTTACACATTATCACAGATTTTAGGGATCAACATCAATTCATGAAACACTTACCGCATTTATAGCACTTTCCATACCCTCCATAAAAAGAGCGTCTGGATTCTGGCCTCGGGTTGATCAGTTGAGTTCTCCTGGGCTGTCCACCTCTACCATAGCTGGTTGAAGCTCTGGTTGGCCTCACCCTGCTAGTCCCTGGAACTGACGCTGTAGATGATGTAGAGCCCTGACTAGAGGCTGTAGTGGTGGACTGATAACTGCCATCATTGTCAGTGTGTTGATGGGATGCTCTCCCACCTCTGCCTCCATTGTCCACATCCTCATCATCTGACCTTATGATTCTCCTCTGGGCATGGCCTTGTCTTCTGTTATTGCTCCTTTCTCTACTTCTGCTCCTTTCTCTGTCATGACTATTCCTTCTTCTAGTATGTCTAACTGTAGCATGTCTATCATTCTCCCAATCACTGTCTTCACTGCTACTTTCTATTCTAGCTCTTCTTCTTCGTCCTCCTCGTCTTCTGTCTCTCCCATGTAAAGATTCTTCATCATGTGAGTCACCACTGTCCTCATCACTATGCTCATCTGTCTGTTGTCTCCTCTCCTCTTCCCTCCTCCGCCTTCTCCTCCAATCCTCCCTTCTCCCAGTACTCATTGAGCTGTCACTATTGCTGTGTCTGCCTCGTCGATGCTGACGCGTCCTCCTCCTTTCTCGATGCCTCATATCCCTACGTCGTTGTCTTGAGCGAGGACTATGGTCACTGAAATCAGTGGCTGAACTGTCTGTGGAGTACCATGAATCACTGTCTCTCCTGTCTCTCTCAAAATTTCTATTATTTAACGACCAATATTCTTCAGAATAATCTGAGTCCGTAAAAGATGATATTGATGATGTATCATCATGGTGTTGCCAGGGCCGATCATATCGAGTATGAGGTGGACTTGCAGTTCTAGTTTGTCCTCGTGAAGGCTGGTGGTGTGGAGGATTAGCATCGTCAAATTTTGCTTGTTCATCTGAATATAACATACATCTTTATGATTAAAATCATTGAGATAATTATGACATGCTGGACAATACTTCAACATCAATGCTTCCAACTACCACACATTATACTCTATAGCCCAAAGGCTGACACATCAATGCTTCCAACCACCACACATTATACTCTATAGCCCAAAGGCTGACACATCAATGCTTCCAACCAACACCCATTATACTCTATAGCCCAAAGGCTGACACATCAATGCTTCAATCAATCACACATTATGCTCTATAGCCCAAAGGCTGACACATCAATGCTTCCATCCATTTCACATTATGCTCTATAGCCCAAAGGCTGACACATCAATGCTTCCATCCATCACACATTATACTCTATAGCCCAAAGGCTGACACATCAATGCTTCCAACCACCCACATTATACTCTATAGCCCAAAGGCTGACACATCAATGCTTCCATCCATCACACATTATGCTCTATAGCCCAAAGGCTGACACATCAATGCTTCCATCCATTTCACATTATGCTCTATAGCCCAAAGGCTGACACATCAATGCTTCCATCCATTTCACATTATGCTCTATAGCCCAACGGCTGACACATCAATGCTTCTATCCATCACACATTATGCTCTATAGTCCAAAGGCTGATACATCAATGCTTCCATCCATTTCACATTATGCTCTATAGCCCAAAGGCTGACACATCAATGCTTCCATCCATCACACATTATGCTCTATAGCCCAAAGGCTGACACATCAATGCTTCCATCCATCACACATTATACTCTATAGCCCAAAGGCTGACACATCAGTGCTTCCATCAATCACACATTATGCTCTATAGCCCAAAGGCTGACACATCAATGCTTCCATCCATCACACATTATACTCTATAGCCCAAAGGCTGACACATCAATGCTTCCATCCATCACACATTATGCTCTATAGCCCAAAGGCTGACACATCAATGCTTCCATCAATCACACATTATGCTCTATAGCCAAAAAGGCTGACACATCAATGCTTCCATCAATCACACATTATGCTCTATAGCCCAAAGACTGACACATCAATGCTTTCATCCATCACACATTATACTCTATAGCCCAAAGGCTGACAACCCAATAGTTACTAAACATCACACATTACACTCTATAGTCCATGGGCTGACAACCCAATAGTTACCAAACATCATAATTTAAACAGTGTAGTCCAAGGGCTAACAAGCCAATACTTACCAAGCATCACACATTATGCTCTATTGTCCAGGGGGTTGACAGGCCAATACTTAACAAACAGCAAATATTAAGGATTTCCGATGGAGTATCTAACTGTTTCTAAGAAAGGTCCTTAAAGAATCTATCAGATTTCCAATTGGAGAAAGAAGGCGGTTAGTGCGCATTCAACTGTGCTAGAAGCGCTTATACAAGTCATTTCTTACCAAACATCACGTGGTATGCCTTATAGTCCATGGAGTGACAAGACAATACTTACCAAACATCACATATTATGCTCTATAGTCCATGGAGTGACAAGCCATTTCTTACCAAACACCACATATTAAGCTCTTTAGCAGCAGGGCTGACAAGCTGACAAGCCAACACTGGCCAAGTATCAATTATAATAATTCTCCTTACTTTTGCGCTCTACTAAAAGAGCTTTCCTGTCTTCCCTCATCTCTTCACCCAGCTGCTCACACATCTTATCAATGAAGCTATCCAGAACTAAGCTTCTGTTCTTGGATGTGATGTTGGTCCTACACATTGGGCAATTTTTGCTTGTCTTCATCCACTGACTGATACACAGGGCACAGAAGGCATGGGCACAGTTTAAAGATGTTGCCTACACAGAGAAACAATGACTTTGCTTTCAAAACTCCTTGTAGCATTGTGTCTGTACAAAAACATGTGGGTGGAAAAGGAGAACTCCAAATAGAAAACATGCCTTGTAGACTTACTGTAATTGCTGTAGTAAGTGCCCAATGCATAACAAATTGACAAAGGAGGTTTATTAAAACTGTACTTGAAAATTTAATTTTGTTGTCAGAGATCAAGTGGTAGAAAACAAACTTAGTTTAAATGTCGATGAAACTAAAAGTGTGGCAATAATGTATTCTTATATACAACCTATCACTTACAACTGGACATCAGCTCAGCAATATATCATCAGAAGCAAAAAAGCAAAATCAAATCGGGATTCATTGTAATCATTACATTTGCAATGTTATACAGTCCTAGTTACCTGTACAAACAGCTCATTACAGATACTGCACTGCAGTTCACTGTCCAAGGTATTCTTCACCCTCTCCAGAGACTGCTTTTGCTTCTGCAGCTCCTCCTCCATATCCTTGCCGGAGTTCCTGTTCCCAGATGTCCCGGACAGAGGCCCTAAACCTTCTGCACCACCCCCAGACTCTGAACACGAGTCTGGTTCTTTGGTTAAACCTGCAGCTACATCATGTACACCACATTTCTGGTCAAAAATGTTTTTCTCAAAATGCTGTTGACTTCTTTTGGGAAATGTCTCTGATACTGATGTCTTTTGAGTTTTATGCATCTTTTTCTGTTGTTGGCCCTTACTGTCTGATGTAGTACTATGGGATGAACTAGGTTTAGTTAGCATGTTATTTGAATTGCTCACACTTTTTCTCATCCCTGATGTTGATGGTGGAGATGGTTGTTTTGAATTTGGTGTACTAGTTTTATACATTGAAGTAATAGTGCTCGAAGGTAGATCATGGGATGATCTTTGTTGACTGTTTGTTAAATGCAAAGCTCCTTTCTCATACTCTGGATTGAGATAATAAGTGTCCTTTGAGAAATGACTCTCTGACCTTGCTGATATTGCTGAGTTCGTTTGTGGCACCTGGAACAAATCCATGATCTCAATCAGACATGTAACTCTTTTTAATGCCAAATAGAACAAATGTATTCTGATTCACATCTTGGCCATTCAGTACCTGGGAGCATATGGATCTAGGAAGGCCAAAGCATGGTTACTGATGCTAGGCTGACATCACAGGGCATTGTTTCACTGGTGTATCTGGCATTAAAATTCAGAAATTACATTATAGAGTATTGTGACGTGTTTGAAAAATTTGTGGAACTGCATTCTGAACGTCGGACAGTACCTGGATTACCGGGACTACAATTGCATGACCCTTTAACTATGATAGTCAAATTTTTTAACAACATATAACCTATGTCATTGATGAGGTTTCCGCACACTGTTATTTTAGAGTAATATTTCAATGTTGATGTCAAATTTTCGATGTTTATGAATTGCATTAATTGATATTCAGTTTTAAGCAATGACAGAAATGAGGTGCATCATGTTGATTGATTTCTATTTTCCCGTGAATTAGTCACATGACACAGCCCACGTGTCTTTCCTAAAGTTATATTTGAGCAAGGTGATCATATGGTGTGTTGTTTTAGTATTTCCTCAGAAGAGTCCGTTCTGTTCATCAGTTTAGGATATATATTTCTCTTTTCTGGTGACAATGAGCAACAGTTAAATGAGATGCAATCATGTGCTCGCTTATAACGGTGAGTTGGGGATAATTGGTCCTTGGTGATAACTGGTCCCAAGCCAGTATGCATAATTTTGTTTGTTGTTGGGTTTGTTATCATATTGGTGTGTGTTTGTTCACAGCTTTATTTTGTAAGCATAAAGTTGTGAGTCCATATAAAATCAAGTTTATTTGACTTTGCTGACCTTACAAAAGGTCCGTTCTGACTATAAATAGATCATGATGTTTCATTTATAGATACAACAACATGGGACTAGTGTGATGAAAGTTGTTTAATACTGCGTATAATATTGGTGCATAGCCGAAAATATCAAGCGTAGGTGAATTCTTGATGTTCCCTACTCTCAAACAGCACAAATGTCATACCCTGTTGCTACGCTGGTGATCTGTCTGGGAGCTGTGCGAATGTGACGTATCGAGCTGGAGCTGTTCCTCCACCTCAGCGAGACTTTGTGACAAGAGCCAGTCATCGTCGTCGTCTTCAGCAAAGAAAACTTCCTCCACTTTATCTACTGCTTGTGCCAGTATGCCATCGTCGTCATCATCGCCCCAGGGGTCATCCATAGTCTTGAATATAACTTTACTTATGGGTTTTAAGAATGAACATCTGTGTCAAATGACGAAACGAACGCAGGACGTAAACAAATGGATTACCTCCCATGAAGATAAAACAGAGTTACCTTTTCTTAGATCACTCGGGTTCATCGGCTAAGTCCGCTTTCTACACTGAATTGAGACATTCCGATTGAAAACGAAGCGTACTTTGCATTAGAGTTTTCAGAGAGAGCTGTCTTTTATTATATAGTGGAAAGTGATAACGAATAAAATACACTGACCTTTGTAAAGTGTCTCAATGATTTCAGGAAACGAATTCATGCTAAATATTATTAAAATGCACCATGGTAGTATATCAAGATTGACTTCAATAAGTTTTGTGTTTTATACATTGCAGATTTACGCAAAGGTGAACACACCGGTTTTTACTGGTGTTTAACATTTGTAACTCCATTAAGAAAAAATAACTCCATAGACTGCTTATTTAATCATAAAACACACACAATTGTCGATCATTTTGTATTGTTGTCTACAGCGTTGTGTTTTATGGATTAAGTGGTGCTATATTTTCACACCAATGTTGCATTCCAACCAAATTCTTTTAACCCATCTATTAAATTCAAAATAGATTTTCTCATTTGCAGGCATGTGATTGAAGAATGACAAAAAATAGTGAAAGAACTTTTGCTTGGTACCAAACTTATATAGGTACGATCGGTAGTTACTTTTGTATGAGTTTTGGCGCAAAGCCATATTTTAGTCATACATTTTAAGTTGAATTGCCATATAGCAGACGACATAACATGCATTTTGTCTGTGATTATCGTCCGCATATATCTTTTAAAACATCCTATAAAGTGTCTTATTTTTATTGATATTAGAATACTTTTGTAAGATCCGTATTTTTTTTACCATAGTTTTCGCGATTTCTTCGTAAGTTTGACATCTATATCAACTTTGTTTCAGTTAGGCTTCTATCACGTATCGCGCTGAAGAAAACTTCATATTTTGACGATGATTTATATTTGTGATCATATGTAGATTTTATCTTTATTAATCATGAAAAAGAATGCTTTAGATGTATATAACTGTTCTAAATATATAGGTATTTGGAAAGTAAATTAGCTCCTTTGTACGCATGCTGAAAAAGCTTCATTGGGTATTTACGCGTGCTTATTTTACATATTTGAGTTTTTCATTTAATGCATGCGTTTCTGTACGCATGTAAATTGAAAGAAATTGAGTTTTGAATATTTGGGGGTATTTTACGCAAATACGCTGTAGCTCTGTTAGGACTGGGACGGGTAACTCGGGTACCCTGGTCGGGTGGGTACTGAGTAGGACCCGGGTACCCACAGGAGTACCCGGACCCGTGGTTAATCACGTGATATATTGTTTATTGACAAAAATTATCTAGAACTCTATGGCTACACTACAAGTCACTAATGTTCGCATTTCTTTCTGACTATGCACCCATTCCTTCTGATTTTTCATTTGGTTGAATAAAGATATAACTTAATTCAACTTCAGTGTATGAATGACCAGGTTGTTTAATACATGTATCTAAATACGTTTTGCCAGGGATGTTCTAAAAATGTTCCCAATCGGACATTTTTAGACATCTCCTGAGACCTACAGTGGGTACCGAGGTAGGGTCGGGTAATAGGGTGGTGGGTACCCGGGTAGTAAACTTGGACTCGTCCCAGCCCTAAGCGCTGTGTGCTCTGTGTGCGCTGTGTGCCCTGTGTGCGCTGTGTGCTCTGTGTGCGCTGTGTGCTCTGTGCAACCAGAACCAGGCAAACAAATGACTGAAAGCATGAGGAAATCTCCTGGAGTATGATGACATGCAATCAGCCAAGTCACTGAGTGATCCATGTCTGTTGACTTGGTTACAAGGCACCGATTCTGCCCGACAACTCTCAAGGGGGACATTGTTTTTGCTGACCAGAGGTGAGGTGAAATTGGATTTAACCTTGCATTGAAGATTGTTGCACTTATATAGGAAAGTGCATGCACATGTGTGTGCACGTGTGTGTGTGGCTGCTTGTAGTAGTGCGACCTAATTCCGGTTTTATAGTGCTAGCTCACCGAGATACCATGCCTCAGTTTAATATGGATACCCCACACAGACACAGCATACTGACTCCAAGCCTACCAGTCCGTTTTATTCCCTAAATGCCAAGTGTCTGGCAGGGTATCAACAAGTACCATCTATTTTGTAAGAGGCGACTAACAGGATCACTGACTTGGTTGATGCATGTCATCAATCACAATTGCATGGATCGATGCTCATGATGTCAATCACTGGATTGTCTGGTCCAGAATCGATTATTTACAGACCGCCGTCATATAGCTTGAATATTGCTGAGTGTTGCGTTAAACAACAAACCATCTATGACCTGGCTGAGGATCGAAACCCCAACCTTTGCTCTCCAGGCAGATCCTTTATGCTACTAGACTACTGAGGTGTTTTTTCTGACCAAAACTTTACTTTCATACAACAAAAAGTCTCTATTTTATGTTATTTTAATCAATGAAACTTGGTAACATTGTGTGAATCAGAAACAAACACATCTGTACATCTCTACATTTGACTCATGTATGAGGGGATAGTCACAACAACAATGTATTCACAAATGATCTAATCCTTAATGAAGAAAGTACAAACAAAAAATTACTTTAAAAAAAAAATAATTGTGTGCCACAATTGTCTGGCTTATATGGGATTCACAAAATGGTACTTTTCTTGCTAAATATTCTTTTTTTCTCAATCACAAAACTTCGGGGGTGAGGTGAAATGGGGTTTAATGTCGCATTCAAGATTATTGCACTTATATAGCAACATGCATGTATATGTGCATGTGTGTGGCTACTTGTACTGGTCCAGACTAATGCCAGTTATGAAAGTGCAAGCCCACTGAGATACCCCAGTCACACATGGTATACTGTCCTTAAGCCGACCAGTCCTTGTTTTATTCCCCAAATACCGAACACCTGGCAGGGAAACAAAATGCAGTCTGCGACCTTACCAACTAGTCCGAAGCCCCAGTCTAGCAAAATTCTGTTTTGGTCTAGTAATATCAGCTGATAACAAGATAACACTAAAATCTACTGAAAATGATGTCAAGAGATGTGTGTGGGCAAGTCAACTAAAAAGCACAGACTTGAGAAGTACTATCATTTTACATCTTTTGGTAGGACATGGACAGGGATCGAACCAGTAAACTTCCGCTCTCCAGGCAGATGCTCTATCCACAAGACAGCAGAGACTGGTCGACCAAACTTGGGATTTCAGGACATCATATATTAAAAATAATACACTGTAAAACCTCGACTACACATACTATTACACAGACATTTACAGAGAGCCTACTCTTTAGTTGAATCTTTTCTGCATTCTATTAACCAGGCAGTGGATGATGTTGCTGAATTCTTAAGTGACACCACTTCTGTCTCACAATTCTTGACTACAGGAATACAACAACAGAAACTAATGCCAACAATTACAATTTTACAAAAATTATAATAAGCATTGTGTTCTCAGATTCTCAGAAATCCAACTCTTCATAACAGCTACAAATCTGAAAACAAAAACTGTTTCTTCTCCACACTAAAACTGATGTGAGCAGGGGTCTCATTTTTAAATGTGTATAACAGTATTTTGTTTTATGAAAGAAGAAATGAAATACTGTCTTGCCTGACAGCAACTGTTTTCTACTTTTACAATAATAAAGCACAAATATGATTATCATAAAAAACTACACAATGGTTGTTCACACCTAGCTCATTCTAAAATTCTCTCAAAATCACAGTGATTGGAATGGAATCAGTGACAATAATGGCCTTGCACTGACTTCAGACCAAATCTTGGATTAGAACCCAAATCCTGACATGACTAAGGGACACAACTCTGCACATCGAATTGCAGCACAATCACTGAACAAGACATAAGATTTTAGCACCATACACTTCACATGAAACAGTCCACAAACACAATAAACAAGGAAAGACCCTCTAAATATGTCTTTAACATTCATTTTTTACAATGATACTATTGCTGATGAGAACAGTAATGCCTTTCAATTAAAGAAATTGATTCAAGCTTGTGAACCTTATCATATCAGAGATACCTGCTAAAGCTACAATGAACCTGAACGCAAACAATGAATGCAACAGGAATCTATTGTAGTCCTGACTGAACATGTTTCACATGAAGGATGTATGTCTAATGACATCATATTCGAACTTCCCTGTATCTTTTGGAAATATCTATGCTGATAGATGCTTAGGATACCAGGAACACCTGATACATGATAAAGAGTTGGTATACAAACTGTATGTTTGTCCAGATGATCACAAGGACAGGGTCATAATTATGATGCAAAGTAGTAGAGCATGCAATTGACTGAATGTAAATTATATATATTTGTTTGTGCAGCTAATACCAGCTATAGAAGTTCTTTGATGTTATCAATTTTTGGTAACATTCGCCAGAAACCCTCTTTCTTGAAGCATCAATATTTATACACATGCAAATGTTACAGGTAATCGGATATGATATATAAGTCAATTTATAACACCACGACTAACTCTTTTATGATGAATTATACTACTCCACTTTTAACAGGGATATATCTATCGTTCAACGATAGACAAAACCAATTTTCATAATATGTCAAGTATTGAATGACAAATCTGATTATCCCTATCAAGGCTGAGGAGTATATTTACAGCACCATAACACAATTACTGAACAAGATTTTAAAAATCACAAAATGCAAACCTTTTTCTCTGAAACGTTATCTGTGTGATCAGATAGAACAGTGTCACAATACCTATACCATCTGCTGTTCGTAGATGCCTTGTACATGTAGATTCTTTTAATGCTTGAACGCAAAGCTTTGCAGATGTTTATGGAAAATAGTAAGTCAACACAGCAACAATCTCACAAAGAGCACTGTCAAAGTAAGTCCATTAACTGTCTAAGTGCAAACACAATCAAACTGTAACCTGAATGCCAGGCCATTTCAGCGATGGATGGACAATCCTGTTAATGCCACAAGTTGCACTGGATTTGTACTCCTGTCATCTCAACTGAACGCCTGTCTTGAAGTGAATATCAGTGAGATCAGCTAGATTAATAGATATTCATCCCAAAGATACTGTCATCTCAACTGGATCAACTCAGAAGACAGTATTTTTATCATCACGACCATACATGTCCATCTTGAAGCAACCATTTGTCATTATCATAGGTCAATGTCCTCAAGGTTTGAACTGTTGAAGCCATGACGAATCAACAAGAATGTTCTGGTGTAGGCAGTAGTCCACTCATCTCCGAGGAGTCATGTTCCTGGCCTTGGGGTACCAGTACCTGGGGGTACTCAAGCTGATCTTTAGTTCGGACATCCATTGGCCCAGTGACCTCGTCTTCCTGTGAATGAAGCACAAGTCTGTGAACTCCGCAATTGGGCAATAAAGAACCCTTGATAGATACTCACTGCCAAAGGAAACACAACCATAAAAACATACAGAGAAGTATGTATATAAGAACAGATGAGTGCCACTTAATGACAAAACTAACAATCAGTCATGTGTTACCACAGAATGCCTTTATTCTGAACACAATATGCTGCACATGATTTCCAAACTTTACATGCTAATCCTACATGAGACAAATGAAATGGTGCATCTCGAGTCATGGATCTATGACATGAGATGTGATGCTCTCATGAGCGCCGGTTCGTGCAACATAACAGTATCTTCGTTTGTGCATTGAACCAATCTAATATCTTTTGAATATGAGTAATTCTTCATTCATTTACCAAAATGTATAGTGTTTCTGTTTCTTTTGGTGGTTGGTATACTAACAACACAAGATTTCTGTGACTATACACAGTTTCGTATTTATCATTCTGGTATTTATGACTCTCATCGTCTAACTTCTGCTTCAAAGACATCAACAGTTTGGTAACAAGTTTGAATGAAATGACCTTATACGTCACCCAAAGTCTGATTCATTATTGTCTAAACTCATGTCTAAACTTAAACTTCCTTATTTGTCCTGTACACATGTAATGGTTTAAAGTCATATTCCAGTATCAACAATGCTGTAGCTAATTCTTGCCACAAGTATACACCGTCTGTACAGTCAGTCGAAACTCAGCTACATATCTACACAATCAATTTCAAAATGATTAAAATTTGAATAAAAGAGAAGTTAATAAATGTTTACTTGATTTTTATCTGAAATATTTGTCGTTGAAGTCTATAACTTGAATTGTTCGATGACACTGCTGCATTCCAAAGTTACGTCATTTCTATGCATCTAAATGTCTTAAAGGAGGTTTTCAGATAGTTGGATGTTACTAAGTACTTAACACTAGTAAACATAAAACCACATGTTAATCTCCACATAGTGAGAGAAGCACAGAAGAGCCAATCCACCCAGTATACCAAGCTCCTTCTCAGGATACCTTCGTTACCTTCCAGGTATCATCGCTGCAACCACTTGAATTTCCTTCCCAGCGAGTGACACTTTGTTTACCCTCCCAGTATCATCGCTGCAACCACTTGAATTTCCTTCCCAGCGAGTGACACTTTGTTTACCCTCCCAGTATCATCGCTGCAACCACTTGAATTTCCTTCCCAGCGAGTGACACTTTGTTTACCCTCCCAGTATCATCACTGCAACCACTTGAATTTCCTTCCCAGCGAGTGACACTTTGTTTACCCTCCCAGTATCATCGCTGCAACCACTTGAATTTCCTTCCCAGCGAGTGACACTTTGTTTACCCTCCCAGTATGATCGCTGCAACCACTTGAATTTCCTTCCCAGCGAGTGACACTTTGTTTACCCTCCCAGTATCATCGCTGCAACCACTTGAATTTCCTTCCCAGCGAGTGACACTTTGTTTACCCTCCCAGTATCATCGCTGCAACCACTTGAATTTCCTTCCCAGCGAGTGACACTTTGTTTACCCTCCCAGTATCATCGCTGCAACCACTTGAATTTCCTTCCCAGCGAGTGACACTTTGTTTACCCTCCCAGTATCATCGCTGCAACCACTTGAATTTCCTTCCCAGCGAGTGACACTTTGTTTACCCTCCCAGTATCATCACTGCAACCACTTGAATTTCCTTCCCAGCGAGTGACACTTTGTTTACCCTCCCAGTATCATCGCTGCAACCACTTGAATTTCCTTCCCAGCGAGTGACACTTTGTTTACCCTCCCAGTATCATCACTGCAACCACTCGAAGTTCTTTCCCAGCGAGTGACACTTTGTTTACCCTCCCTGTATCATCACTGCAACCACTCGAAGTTCCTTCCCAGCGAGTGACACTTTGTTTACCCTCCCAGTATCATCACTGCAACCACTCGAAGTTCCTTCCAAGCGAGTGACACTTTGTTTACCCTCCCAGTATCATCGCTGCAACCACTCGAAGTTCCTTCCCAGCGAGTGACACTTTGTTTACCCTCTCAGGATCATCACTGCAACCACTCGAAGTTCCTTTCCAGCGAGTGACACTTTGTTTACCCTCCCAGTATCATCACTGCAACCACTCGAAGTTCCTTCCCAGCGAGTGACACTTTGTTTACCCTCCCAGTATCATCGCTGCCACCAGTGGGCAAGCGACCAGTAGCAGAATCTTGCAAATTGTCACTCAAACCCCAAATGCAGTGAAATTTATATTTATGTGTATGTTCTTTGGGAATGCTATATAGTGAACTGGGAAAGATTTACGACTGATTTACAGTTTTCCAGATTAATTTACATTTACTTTGTCAAAATAGATTTTTTCAGGATTGGACATTAATGGAAAAGCACCCAACTTCCCCCTTACATTCTCACAGTACCAATTACCTGGCAGTTGAAATGAAATAGAAATTCAAATTGACAAAGACAGAAAAGCATTTAGAGAAATAAGAAATATGCATCAGGACAGTCATGACTTTCTTACGGTCAGTCGGTAGCAACTCATGCATGGTTGTAGGCTGCCAAGCAAAATGGTGCGCTGTGGCTAGTGACAGTAATGTTATAGAGAGCTCTGCCATCTGGCAGTCACAGGGAGGAGCTTGCCAGTGCTCAGAGTCTGACTTACCACAGGAGTAACATCTTCCGTATCCCCCATAGTAGGCGCTGCCGGCTCCTTCCTCTGAGTCACTTGTCTCAAGAGATGGAGAGCTGTCACTGTCACTGTCACTGTAGCTGTCACTATCTATAACTATTGGTCTTGCTTTCTTCCGAACTCGTGAAGGTCCTGCTGTGTCTGTCTGGTGGTCAGCATCCCATTTGGCTTGTTCAGCTGAAACAGGTAGAAAGGTTTCCGATCCTTCATCTAACGAAAGTGCAGACACACTTTACAAATCTCTCATTGTCTTAGATATAGAGGAGCCTGAATGTGCTGCCTTTAGAGTAGTCCTCTTTCTCTTAATAACAGACAATGACCCATGTTCCTCTAAGAATGATTAGGAACGCCTGTCATTTTCATGTCTTTCACACTTGCATCTGAAGGTAGTAATTATAGCTTCTGATAGTTTTTTTGATTTACTACATTTGTCCAACTCAGTACAATGTCCTCGACAATCGCAACAACTAGAGTGTGGGTCCTGTGCACTTGCACTTATCACACACTTTCTGTTTCTTGGTATCCATGCTGAACCAAAAAATACAAAATATTATTCTCTTCCAAAAAAACCCCATCTCCACACAAGATTGATAAGAAAGAGCATGAGTGAGCTGGGGACATCACGTGACCAAGGCTGGGATGTGTTAGGGTAAGGCAGTTTTTTTAAGCTGGAAACTTGTTTTAGGATTGTTTGCACACAAGGATTGGAGAAGAAGAAGAAAGTGTGTGAAAGAAAGATAGTGTGAGATGGTATAAAAATAACCAATACTGAATCTGAGATTCTCTCAGGTGATTTGAAGCAGCGTTTTGTGTTTCAAGTATAGATTTGTGAGTTAGAAACACTTAAAACAGTAGTTTGAAAAAACAGTGCATCTCTGGTTTTGCAACATCTTGTCTGAACCCCAGAAGTAAACATAATATAACAGTATGAGTACCCCAAGAACTGGACTATGTGATACAAGCAGATGGACCTCATGTGCAGTCACTGACGACAGAGTTGACCTAGGGATTTCTTTATTCTTTCAATGCAACGTTTTAATACAGAAGCTAGTACCCCAACCAACAAGTCCATAGCACTGCATTTAATAAATAAAGAAGTTGAAATCCGCAAGTCAACTCATCTATCTTCATTGACACATCTTCTAAAACGCCACTTAAAGGGGAAGTGTACACGCAAAAATCACTTTCTTTCTTTTTCTAAACAAAACGCAATTTTAGAATTAATTAGTATCTGTGTTTGAAAATATACACTCATTTTTTTCACAGTGAAAGTAGGAAGCTCACAATAGTGTGAAAATGATATGCCGTTATGAGGCCTTCGTTTTTCGAGCTAAACAGGCCTGAGTTATCCCCCTTAGATTATGACGTAATTGGTGCCAATTCAACTGGGTCCCGGTCTATTCTCAACGCAAAAGATATCAAGTACCAGTTTGCGGTAAAACAACATGGCCTACGACACACTCCGGCGCAGTGGTGACTCAGCATAACACTATGCTGGCTGGCATCTGAGATGCTAGAATCACACACCTAGACCTACACCACGTGAAGCGGCTCTAACAAAGCATGATGACGTCATAATGTTTATCAATTGGCACCAATGACGTCATATTGCAAGGGGCATAAGCCATGGTGTTTTTGTTGTGGAAATAGAACACTTGGTAAATGTGAAAAATATAAATCGTTTTAATGCGAAAAATATGTTGATTAATTGTGATATTTTTATATTTTTGTCTATGACACTTCTAGGTTAACACTTTTAATGTGGAAAAAGTACAAGAAAAATAGGTTAATTTCCGTGTGAACTTGCCCTTTAAAGATGTTATCTCTAGCCATTGCTCACCCACCTTTCCGCGTCTCCACAAGCTCCTTCCTCCTCTCCTTCAGCTCGTCCGTGAGATGTTCCACCATCTTATCAATGTAGCTGTCCAGGACGATGGATCGATGGTGTGTTGTGACAGGGGCTCGACACACAGGACAGTCCTTCTTCCTCTCCATCCACTGGTTGATGCACAGCGCACAGAATCCATGGGCACAGTTCAGTGAGGTCGCCTAGTGTAGACAGAGGCATAATTCACATGTACAACAGAATCTGTTGATAAGATATTTATTTCAATTTTATGAATTTACTAGAAATGGTATTACAGTTTGGTACTTACTCCAAATAAAATCTAGTGTTTCCAATGATTACCTAAATCAGGATTGGTAGGAAGGCTAAACTTAATTTTTTTAATTGCAGTAGTTTTTCATAGCTTTATATAACGCGGAGATAGGCAGAGTGAGTGAGTGAGTGAGTGAGTGAGTGAGTGAGTGAGTGAGTTGAGTGAGTTGAGTGAGTGAGTGAGTGAGTGAGTATGGTTGTACGTCGCTTGTAGCAATATTCCAGCAATAACACGGGGGGACACCAGAAATGGGCTTCACACATTGTACCCATGTCGGGAATTGAACCCGGGCCTTCGGCGTGATGAGCGAATGCTTCAACCACTAGGCTACCTGACCAACCCCCAGGGATAGGCAGAAACTTCCACATTCAGATCATAATCTTAATGATTTTGAAGACAACAATTCTATAAATGACAACATTCTTCATCAGACTAGTCTTGTGTAAGACATGATCCACGCATACCCAGGGATTACCTGCACAAAGAGCTCGTTACAGATGCTGCACTGCAGCTCGGTCTCCATGACGTCAGTGAGGTTGGCTAGAATGTCCTCCCTGGTTTGGTACGTCGACTCTTTCTGCTTTTCATTCTCTGCCACTGTATCCTTCAGCTGACTCTCCAGCATCTTCTGCTTCAACTCCTTTTCTGTGATGACTTTCTCCAGCTGCTCCTGGGGACATGCAACACTACACATCAAACAGGAGCCATGGCTGCATTCAGTTGCCATCTAGTCACTGCATTGTCGCCATCTAGTCACTGCATTTAGTTACCATCTAGTCACTGCATTCAGTCACCATCTAGTCACTGCATTCAGTCATCATCTAGTCACTGCATTTAGTTACCATCTAGTCACTGCATTCAGTTACCTTCTAGTCACTGCATTCAGTCACCATCTAGTCACTGCATTTAGTTACCATCTAGTCACTGCATTCAGTCACCATCTAGTGACTGCATTCAGTTACCATCTAGTCACTGCATTCAGTCATCATCTAGTCACTGCATTTAGTTACCATCTAGTCACTGCATTCAGTCACCATCTAGTCACTGCATTCAGTCATCATCTAGTCACTGCATTTAGTTACCATCTAGTCACTGCATTCAGTCACCATCTAGTCACTGCATTCAGTCACCATCTAGTCACTGCATTCAGTCACCATCTAGTCACTGCATTCAGTCACCATCTAGTCACTGCATTCAGTCACCATCTAGTTACTGCATTCAGTCACCATCTAGTCACTGCATTCAGTCACCATCTAGTCACTGCATTCAGTTACCATCTAGTCACTGCATTCAGTCACCATCTAGTCCCTGCATTCAGTCACCTTCTAGTCACTGCATTCAGTCACCATCTAGTCACTGCATTCAGTCACCATCTAGTCACTGCATTCAGTCACCATCTAGTCACTGCATTCAGTCACCATCTAGTCACTGCATTAAGTCACCATCTAGTTACTGCATTCAGTCACCATCTAGTGACTGCATTAAGTCACCATCTAGTCACTGCATTCAGTCACCATCTAGTCACTGCATTCAGTCACCATCTAGTCACTGCATTCAGTTACGCCAGACGCAGGATGCTGAACAAAGGCCATGACTTAACCTCACTTGACTGTCAGTCAGATTAGCGAAAATATTATGGACTGTATATAAGTATCCAGCTCATCATCATTAAAGGGGACACAAGTATACAAGCATCTAGCTCATCATTTGTCTAGGGGACACGTACACAAGTATCCAGCTCATCGAGAGTCAAGGGACACACATACACACGTATCCAGCTCATCAATAGTTGAGGGGACACATGTACACAAGTATCTGGAGCATCAAGAGTCAAGGGGACACATGTACACAAGTATCAAACTCATCACCGGTCACATGTACATAAGTATGCAGCTCCTCACAAATCTAGCTGACATATAGACACGAGTATCCAGCTCATTATGAGGGCCAATCTTCCTACCTTCTGTTTAATGAGTTCCTCCTCGAGCAGTTTGTCCTTCTCTTCCAGGGCCTTATCCATCTCCTGCTGCAGTCTTTCCTGAACCCGCCCCTTCTCCTCCAGGAGGTAGTTGCGCTGGTTCGTCAGGTACTCTGTCAACCGAGCCTCTCGCTCCTTCAACTGGGTCTCCAGCTCAGCTTTCATCTTACCCTCCATGTCCTGCTTCTCCCTCTCCAGTGCTTCCTACACCAACAACCACTATTTTCATTGAGGGTAATTCATATCATGTGCTGGACCAATTTACCCAACATGCTTTTTAGATCCCCCGTTTACTAAGTAGTTCATAGTCCATTCCAACACAATGTGTTTCCTGTTTACTGAGTAGTTCATAGTTCACTCCAACACAATGTGTTCCCTGTTTACTGAGTAGTCTCCTAGTTCACTCCAACACAATGTGTTCCCCTGTTTACTGAGTAGTCTCCTAGCTCACTCCAACACAATGTATTCCCCTGTTTACTGAGTAGTTCATAGTCCACTCCAACATGTGTTCCCTGTTTACTGAGTAGTCTCCTAGTCCACTCCAACACAATGTGTTCCCCTGTTTACTGAGTAGTCTCCTAGTTCACTCCAAGACAATGTGTTCCCATGTTTACTGAGTAGTCTCCTAGTTCACTCCAACACAATGTGTTCCCTGTTTACTGAGTAGTCTCCTAGTCCACTCCAACACAATGTGTTCCCCTGTTTACTGAGTAGTCTCCTAGTTCATTCCAACACAATGTGTTCCCCTGTTTACTGAGTAGTCTCCTAGTCCACTCCAACACAATGTGTTCCCCTGTTTACGGAGTAGTCTCCTAGTTCATTCCAACACAATGTGTTCCCTGTTTACTGAGTAGTCTCCTAGTTCATTCCAACACAATGTGTTCCCCTGTTCATACTGAGTAGTCTCCTAGTTCACTCCAACACAATGTGTTCCCCTGTTTACTGAGTAGTTCCCTAGTCCACTCCAACACAATGTGTTCCCTGTTTACTGAGTAGTCTCCTAGTCCACTCCAACACAATGTGTTCCCTGTTTACTGAGTATACACTCTGATACAATGTGTTCCCTGTTTACTGAGTATTCACTCTGATACAATGTGTTCCCTGTTTACTGAGTATACACTCTGATACAATGTGTTCCCCTACCTGTTTACTGAGTAGTCTCCTAGTCCACTCCAACACAATGTGTTCCCTGTTTACTGAGTATACACTCTGATACAATGTGTTCCCCTACCTGTTTACTGAGTAGTCTCCTAGTCCACTCCAACACAGTGTGTTCCCCTGTTTACTGAGTATACACTCTGATACAATGTGTTCCCCTACCTGTTTACTGAGTAGTTCTTCCTTCATCTTTGACTCCTTCTGCTTGAGCTGGACCAGGGCCGCGGCCTGACAGACACGTTCCTGCTTCTCCTGCTCCAGCTGTTCTCGCATGTGTTCCTGTTCTTGTTCCTTGGCCTTCAGCTTCTGCTGCATCTCCTCCAGCTGAGCCTTAAACATGTCCACAGCAGCATCCTTCTCTTTCTGGTGGGCCTCCAGCTTCAGCTTGTACGACTTATAGGGAGAATCTGACAACCAAATAACATCTAAAAGTAGGATTCAAGAACACTACATGATGAATCCACTAACTCTGGAACTATACAAGTCATGATTTGTTTGGTTGTTGTTTAACGCCGAACTCAGCAATATTCCAGCTATATAACGGTGGTCTGTAAATAATCAAGTCTGGACCAGACAATCCAGTGATTGACATCATGAGCATTGATCCATGCAATTGGGATATGATGACATGCATCAACCAAGTCAGCGAGACTGACCACCTGATCCCCTTTTAAGGCAAGCAGGGGTTGCTGAAGACCTATTCTACCCCGGATCTTCACAGGTCATTTGTCGCCATTTGGCTGAAACATTGCTGATGATGTGACTATATATATTAACTCACTTTTATGAGTCTTCAATAAGTACAAATAAGTACAAATGAGTATATCCTGTGAAGGGTTTGAATAAAGCATAGAAAAATAACAATATTCATGAAATCAAAACATAAGACTCACTACATCTTCCAAAGAGCTCAAACAAACTGAAAAAAATATATCTATACTCTTATCACTACAGGGTTTGAAATTAGTATAAGTCTGCTTGTCCAAAACTAATGATATTCAGGAAGGACTCGCGACGTTTCCTCATGAACTGCCCATCTTACCACTAGGTTGTTGTTGGATTGTTGTTTAACGCCACACTCAGCAATATTCCAGCTATATGACGGCAGTCTATAAATAATCGAATCTGGACCAGACAATCCAGTGATGGACATCATGAGCAACAACCATAGCAATTGGGATCGATGACATGCATAAATCAAGTCAGCATGCCTGACTGCCCGATCCCGTTAGTCACCTCTTACGACAAGCTTAGTCGCTTTTTATGGCAAGCATAGTAGATGGAACAAGAAGCATATAGTTTCCAATTTCTAACCCTGCATTACTATCATTTTTCTTTCACTTTTAATCCAAAATACTCAAAAAAGCAAGATTTTGCCTTCAGGTCATTAATGTAGAGATCTCTACTATCTGTCACAAACCTGGCATACATCCTTGTGGGTTGGAGATTCTTTCAGCTCTACTGACTTGTGGACAGTTTTCATCTTTGTTGGTTAGATTTGTAGATGTTTGGTGCACCTTAAGTCTCTTCTTGGCTGGGTTGTTTTCTTCTGTAGAATCTTTCCTGTTTCTCTTGACTTTTAAGGAAGCATGAAACTGGAAGATGAACTCTGCTGGCTGTCCTGACTTCACTGGAAAACCCAGCTGCACCTTGTCCCCATCCTTCAATATGTGCGAGACTTGGGCAGTCAACTTCTTATCATTTACATACACACCATTCAGGCTCTGAAGATCATAATCATAAGGAGGTGAGGTGAAACTGGGTTTAATGTCGCATCCAAGATTATTGCACTTATATAGCGACGTGCATGCACGTGTATGTGTGTGTGTGGCTGCTTGTACTAGTCCGGACTGATGCCGATTTATAGTGCTAGCTCACTGAGATACCATGCCGCAGTTTAACATGAATACCCCACTCAGACACAGTATTCTGACTCCAAGCCAACCAGTCCTTGTTTTACCCCCTTAATGCCGAGCGCCAGACAGGGTAACAACAAGTACAATCTTTTAACGTCCTTTTGTATGACGCGGCCGGGGGTCGAAGCCCAGACCTTCCGCTCTCCGGGCGGACGCTCTACCACTAGACCACGGAGGCGGTCATGATCATAAGGAACATGTAGTGCTTGAAGTTAAGGATCTAAGTCAAGGGGGCTTGTAGTAACCCTAATGTTGAAAGTTTAGTAAAATCTAAATAATTTTTACATTTCTATACTTATCCTACATAACTCCATGATGCATTAACAGCTGTTCTCTGACAGAAAGATGAACTGTGTGAGATCCAGCTGCTAAAGAAAATTTGTTCCAACCAGAAGAGGCAGCACCCTTGCACAGTCAGCACGTGACCCAGAAGCCATGACGTTACATTAAGGAGTTATGCAGGATACGTTAAAAAATAACAGAAATCTGAGTATTTCGTTTATTTATCTAATATCTGAATTTAACTTACAATAACACTGTTCCTATCAATTTGTACTTTAATAACAATAGTTGTACCATGTTGTTCAATAATAATACTTGTATGACATTGAACAATATTATACTAATATAATCATGCTGTACCTTGTTGTCCGTGATGCTCCATGTACTGTCGGCCTGTTTCTTTATCACAGCGTGACATCTTGACACCATTACCGACAGGAGACAATGTGTGACCTCAGGAGACCGACCAATGGTAACCTAGCAACATAAACATTTTTGTTTGTTTTGTTTGTTGTTTAAGGCCGCACTCAGCAATATTCCAGACATAAACAATGATAGTAGCAACTATATGATAAAGTAGATGTAAGACATTTAGATCAATAGAGTGTCTTTGAAAATGTTGTTAAAAAACATAGGAAAACAAGTTAAATTACAGTGAAAGCATGAAATTCATTTTGGTTTAAGAAGATTTTGTGTTACCGTCCCAGGTGCATCTTATTTGAAAATAAGATCCAATATCAACACACTGAATCAATATATTTCAATATACATGTATTGAACTTTGAGCAACTTTGGTTTAACACTGCTTAAAAACTAGAAACATTATCAGGGGGAATCTAGGGTTCAAACCCATGATCACTGGTATATGGCATATCCAGGGATGAGAACGAATATTTTCCTTTTTAGCTGATACTTCTTTGCAATGGAACACGGTCCATAATTTAGGGGTGCTTCTTGGGGTAGCAAACCACAGCTCCTTAAACAACGGGGCCACTCATGCCCCTACAGTTTAACTTTCTGTAAACATGTTTTCACTGTACATGCTGTAGTTTCTAAATTAAAACTAATGTACACAAACATAACTGCATTGAAAACTGCTTTCTACATAACACTTACAGATGTGCTTCAGACAAAGTCATTTTCCTCTACCTGCCCACCTGTTAATTTTATTACTACTAAGTATTCAGTTTTATCATAACTTCTCATAGATTTTAAAGCAATCGTTTGCAATATTTCAAGTGAATCAAGACACAATTTGTCTCTTCTTTTTCCCACGAGCGTTTAACGTTTTAATGTGTGTCTGAATGTGGGCAGGTCACTTGAAGATGGGCAGGCAATATTAATGTTGGGTTTTATAACTATTTTAAACACTGACTGCAAAGACCCTAAACTTTCATGCATTAATGACAATACCCATGAAGATCCAGGTAAAGATTAGTAAAAGGCGACTATGCTTGTTGTAAGAGGCAACTAATGGGATCGGGTGGTCAGGTTGGCTGACTTAGTTGATGTTTGTCATCGTATCCCAATTGCGTAGATAGATGCTCATGGTGTCAACCACTGGATTGTCTAGTCCAGACTTGATTATTTACAGACCACCATCAAATAGCTGAAATATTGCTGAGTGCGGCGTGAAACAACAAACAAACAAACTAATATTAAAAACTTAAATCATCATTAAATGTTGTATGTAAAGTATGAAATGTGGAAAAATATAGTTGTCAAAGGGCCAGTATGTGTGGTCACTGGAGCAAGAAACTTCACTCGCAGAAAAGAGCGAGCAGGGCTGAGTAATCTTGGGAGCTATCGGCTATAATTTGAAAATGTTTCTAAACAATCGACATACTGGTCCTCAAAAGTGTCTAAATTCCATCAATTTTTGGTTCTGGGCAGATAAGCAAGGAAATGTTGTTTTAATCCACTTTAAAACACATCGGGGGACCTAAAATTAATAATTATATGTTGAGTAAGCAAGACAGGTCTGTAACCGAAAGGGTATTGATTCTTGTACTTGACTAGATCTATGAATAGTGAACGCTGTGATGTATGAAGTGAAGATGAAGTAAAATCGAGTACAAGAATCAATGTCCTTTTGTTGTGACTACAAGGTCCATACTGTTCTGGCGAATTTACCTGTAAACTTACAAATCATTGGACATATTTAATGTCAATGACAATCGTTTAAAAAGATCACTCATGTAATATGTAATATATTGAACGTATGTCCTTCGGAAAGATGCTTATGTTTATGGAGATGATAAACATCCGAATCCTAGCAGAATCTAAGCGTTTGAAAATTACCTGATCTTTCTCTAACAGCAAATACTTATATTTCTTAATGTTATCTCCTTGTCTCACTAAACACGGTAGATGCTGTGCCATTGTTAATTGATTTTAATCATCCACGAGGCTTGTAAATATGGGCTCGTAAATATGTTGTAAAAAATAAGCAGCGACAAGCTACTTAGCCAGCCTGCTCTCAAGTTATCGGAACATTCATTTCCTACCATACTACGTCATCAAATCATGTGCACTTCAATCCCAGACTTACACTGTTGGGCAACTTCCGGTCTTTTCAGCCATCTTGGCATTTCACAAGCACGTGTAAGTATAGTAAGCGTTATAAATTGACTATTATCTTCATAATTTAGGGAATTGCCGATCAGTAGTATGTCAGAACTGTTGTGATACGCACGAAGCGCAAACTGGTAACCACCAATACAGACAGGTAACGCAGAATGTTCTTAATTTCTGTTTTTGAAGTGAGAGATGCTGCGTTTTGAACAGGGAATATCGCAGGCGCCACAAGACATTTCCACATATGACATCCGTGTGATGTTGTAGACTAGTAGTCTGTTTGTTCTCAGTGCAAGGTTTTCGTTGAGTACATATGAACGATCTAAAACCGATTGATATTACGCAGAGGGCATGATAACTGGTACGATGTATATCAACTCATGGCAACTGTAAACTGGTAAGAATTAAATGTTGACATTTTTATAATGTTATGAATCCAGATCGTTCTCAGAAAAAGTTGTTATTTGTCAAACATTAAATAGTGTACCTATCATGAACTTATTTCAACATTCAAATTCTCCATCTCTGTACTGTCAAAATGACCGCTCAACTTGAATCGCAAGGGGGGGGGGGGGGGGGGTTGTCAGGTTATCAGTGTTAAGGAGTAGACTCAGAGTTAGAACTTGGCACTAGTCCTGTAGTTCTTACCAAACTGCCCAATAGTTAAGGTGTCATAAGGACTAGTACAAATTTGCCATTTTTAAAGGCTTTGCTATATGTTATCATTATAAGGGCTAGTGGACTGAATCCGTTAGTTTATCCAGCTGTAGACTGCTAGCCTAAGTCAGTTTGTCTGATCTCAAAGGTATCCAAAAGACTATTTAGTCAGTGTCCTTGTATATTTTCACTATTCAAGTTAGAATGGTTGGTAAATGGTTCAACCGTTTCAACTAATACTATACAACAGATACAAGAACTATATGCCATATCTTGGACAAAATGACCATGGTGGTTTGCTTATTTGTTTCTTGTAACCAAAAATGTTTTCACTACAGCATAAGTATTGTGTGGTCCAATTTAAAATAACACCACCACTTCTTCAATTTCAGAATTTCCTGAAGATGCAAATCTTTGTGCGCTGCTCATTGACCCACACCCTTGAGGTGTCTGGAACCGAGACTGTTCAGGATGTCAAGGTAATTTAATAACCATGTAGCTTATGTCCACATTTCAGTTATAATTACGTCCATTGCAACTTAAACTGCAAACTTAACCTTGTGGTCTAAGGTACTACTATTTCACTGTGCATGGTTCCATCCCTAAGAAGTGCCAGGATCTGGTTCTGGGTTTGAAACCCAGATTTGTCCCCATGTGATCCCTGTTACATCACTGTTGTCAAGGTCTATTGAGAACGAGTCACATTAATGCTTACACGTTGTGATATTACTGAAATGCAGTTCAAAGCATTAAACTCAACTCACTCACTATAATGTGGACTTTGGTTAATTTTTTGTTGAAACCATATTGATATTGTGGAAGAATAATGTTTTTACCCCCAGACCCTCATCAACGAGAAGGAGGGTTTCTCTGCCACTGACCTCGTGGTGCTCTCTGCTGGTCGCCCCCTGGAAGATGCCGAGCTGTTGTCTGGCTTGAACAACCTGACCACTCTTGATGTAGAGGTCCGCATGCTTGGAGGTAGGGATTTATTCTAATACACAATGTGGTATTGGTGTATCAATAACTTTTTGTATCAATACAAATTTATGAATATTGATACTTAATTAATAATTCACTGCCTTATAGACATTTGATGAATCAGTCTATTTAAGTTATGAGTCATTTTATCTTTACACATACAGAATATTGAATCTTGTTACTTATTGACATATCAGGATACTTCTTAGTCAATATATCAATGCTAAAATTCCAGTAAATGACATGCTCAAGTAGGTGATATTATAACCTCTCTTTTTGAGTACTCAATTTTATTGGATGAAAAGTTCCAACAAGCCTACAGTGTTATTGAGCTAACGGTTACTGGTATTTATTTTGATATCATACAACTAGGTACTGTTTTCTGATAGGAACAATAATGATGCATGCTCAGCGTGTGTTGATCTTTATATTCAGTCAAGAAAATAGGTGTCTATCCCAAACATTTGTCTTGTACCTACTGGTCTAACAATGATTGTCTTTCTCCAGGTAAGGTTCACGGATCCCTGGCTCGTGCCGGCAAAGTCCGTGGACAGACCCCCAAGGTGAGTTATCAATGATAACATCCAGTAAGCTGAACATGCTGAACATGCATGCATGTCCTAATCATGACTGCTTGCTATTCATAAAACTTGCATGCTTGAAATGCTTTCATCTGGATGGGGTCTTCTGGTCTAAGATGTTTGCAAAACAGTAATTGTGCCATGCCTGCTTAAACATATTAATCAATGTTTGGACTAATTTGAAGACGCCACGAAAAAGCTGTAGAATAAATCCCATAACTGGCTCTGAAATCTGATTGACACTGCAACGAGACTCCACTCATGCCCATGTTTGTTTGCAGGTTGAGAAGCAGGAAAAGAAGAAGTCCAAGACAGGCCGTGCAAAGAGGAGAATGCAGTACAACCGACGCTTTGTCAATGTTGTTGCCACCTTTGGCAGGAGGAAGGGACCCAACGCTCGCTCTTAGATTATGTACATTTCCTATGTATAAAAAGTCTCTATTCCTACACAGAGGAAAATAAATGTGACAAGGGCACTTGTGTTGTTTTATTATGCATTATTTCCATGGATATAGTTGGCTGGTGGTCTAAGGGGCTTTTTCTCTCATCTCAGATGATCTGTGTTATCTCCAAAATTCCCAACCACAAATTCGGTTGGTGGATATAGGTGTGGGTTCCGTCTGTCCAACTTCTGTGATGACAAGGATTCACAGAAACTGCTATGGATGCAAGGATGGCATTTGCATACATCATTAATAGATAAATATGTTGATAAGAGTTTGAAAACCATCGTTGAAGTTACATGTTTTACAGAAATATTGGCCTTGTTTGGTCTTTTGCACAGGACACAAGCACCCTTCCTCCTAAAGAAGGGGAGTGGAGAGTTTCTCAGAAACCTGTGGATACAAGGGTGATATTTGCAATTGAGAAGGGATATATATATTCACCTGCAAAAGAAACGCGAAACACCATACAAGTTAAGAATTACTCATATTCAAGAGATATCAGAATGGTTCGATGCACAAACGAACATTCTGTTATGTTGCATGAACCAACGCTCATGAAAACATCACTTGACATCATAGATCTATGACTCGAAATCGCACCATTTGTCTTGTGCAGGATTAAAGTGTAAAGTTTGGAAATCACACAGCATATCGTGATAAGAATAAAGACACTCTGTAGTAACACTAGACTGATAGTTTCGTCATTAAGTTGTATGGATGTTTTCAAATTTTTTAAGCTTTTATCTTTTGTTTTCCAAGGCAAGGAATTATTTCTCATTGAAACTTTGCAAATTTATCAGGCTCGTTAGGACTGGTGCCTATCCTTTTCAAAGAAATCAAACACAAAATGAATGTCTTATTTATTACCATTACCAGTCCTCACATTTCTGTTGTACCCATCGGTGATATTGCTGGAATATTGCTAAAAGGGGTTTAAAACAATACTTGCTCACATTTGACAGATTATGAAACATAATACAGGGCCCATACACATTGCTAAAAGATGAGTAATACCATACTGACTGCAATATCGTATAACATCCAATCTTTTACTCCCATACAATACCTCATCTGTGTGAAGATGTGACAAACCCTCTGTAGGAGACTGCATCAGGTGGACAATGAGCAAACATAGACCGCCCAGTCTAAATGGCAGATGTGTGGTTCCTTGAGCCACTCAGATGTCCGCTTTCTCAAACAGTTTCATCTCTCTATTTGAAAATTTCAGTTTCAACAAAGGGTTACTAAAACCAAACAAAGTATAGCTGAAAAGGTTACTGTAGGCCTCCAAGGGGCACATTGAAGTGTACCACTTCCTGATTTAGAAACCATGTTCGCTCTTATAGAAATTAATCCAAAAGGTCACTTCGCTCAAGCACAACCAGCATATCTGATAGTTCCGTTTTTAATAAATCAAATCAAGTTTTGGAAAAAAACATGCCTACCACAGAAGACTTTGATTGGTTATTATGGCACTGTTACTTGGCAACACAAATTATGTGTTTACATTTATAGACTTTCAAAAAAGATAATACCAAGGCTTTGCTTAACTATCGCCAATGGAAAGGCATTGAACGTCGGGTTTTCTCACATATTTTAATTTGAGTACTTTTATGTGGCATCTGCATGATAATTGTAGTAAAAAATAATTTCATACAAAATAGATAGAAAATTAGGCAACACAACCCTTTACATAATTATTAGAAATCTATTTACAATTCTAACGATCTCATTTGCATCTGTTTATCCTGCCCCGTCGGTGGCATCCCTCATAAACAGATCCGTGAAGATCTGGGGTAGAATAGGCCTTCAGCAACCCATGCTTGCCATAAAGGCGACTATGCTTGTCGTAACAGCCGACGAACGGGATCGGGTGGTCAGGCTCGCTGACTTGGTTGATGCATGTCATCGTATCCCAATTGCATGGATCGATGCTCATGATGTCAATCACTGGCTTGTCTGGTCCAGACACGATTATTTACAGACCGCCGTCATATAGCTGGAATATTGCTGAGTGCGGCGTTAAACTACAACCAACCAACCTCACAAACATAAATTTTTAAAGAAATCACAGAACAGTTTTAGTCTTTGGATGACCTGCCGGGGAGCAATAAGGTTAATTGTGTGGTGTTAAATGAATTTATGGCCCAAAGTCTCAGGACCATTAGATCTTGTCTACATATACTGGAACCAATGAAGATCTGGGTTAGAATTGGTATTCAGCAACCAATGCTTGTAAGAGGGGACTAAAGGGATCGGTGGTCAGACTCGCTGACTTGGTTCAAGCATGTCATCGTATCCCAGCTGTGTAGATCGATGGTCATGATGTCCATCTGAGACTTGTGTGTCTGGTCAGACTCGATTATTTGGATACTGCCAACTTTCATGCAGCTGGAATATTGATGCGTGCAACCTTAAACAACAAACACACATATACTGATAGAATGGCCCACCGGTTACACAGTTGGAAGAGGCAGAGTTTGAAGACAAAAAGAGCCTATTTCAGCAGTAAAACCCGTTTCTGGCCTTTAACTGCCTTTAATAGAACCAAAACCATCGAGATCACGGGGTCTTGGTCCTTTAATAGTCTGGCAGAAGGAAGGGTTCGCTGTTGTTCCATTGCCTCAATGGTGGACACAATTGGTGTTTTAGTTTTGTCTTGACCAGAGTTATAAAAGGTTTGGATGCGTTCCACTGGAAAGTTGCAGAGATGATTTTGGATGAAGACATGAACCCTTAGAGAGCCCAAAATGAACTTGGAAAACCTTAAATCCAATATGGCTGTCAAAGTACATACTAAAGTCCAAGAACAAAAAGTGACTGGCACTAGGTGCTGTTTGGATATAGCGATCAGCTTGTCCGTCTGTCCTTTATTTCCATAGCAGAACTCCTAAACCATTGAATCTTTCCAGATGAAACTTGCTATACAGATCAGTCTGGTGGTGAACTGGTGCCTTTCGATGATTTGAGATTTTTGTTTTGTTTTCATGTCGACAAGTTGGACTTGGGGTTGTGCTTGTTTCCAGCTCAGAACTCCAAAAACCGTTGCATATTTCTTGATGAAACTTGCTATACAGATCAATCTAGTGGTTAACTGGTGCCTTTGAATGTATCCAATGGCAATGAAGCAAAAGTGCATAAGTAGCTTGTGTTTTGCCCTGCTTTTTCAGGAAAGCTTATCGATTGAAGTTTATTTACCAGGTGTTGAAAATCAATTGTAGGGGGACCGCCTCCGTGGTCTTGTGGTAGAGCGTCTGCCCGGAGAGCGGAAGGTCCGGGGTTCGATCCCCGGCCGCGTCATACCAAAAGACGTTAAAAGATAGTACTTGTTGTTACCCTGTCTGGCGCTCGTTATTAAGGGGTTAAAACAAGGACCGGTCGGCTCGGAGTCAGTATACTGTGTCTGAGTGGGGTATTCATGTTAAACTGCGGCATGGTATCTCAGTGAGCTAGCACTATAAATCGGCATCAGTCCGGACTAGTACAAGCAGTCACACAAACACACACACGTACATGCACGTCGCTATATAAGTGCAATAATCTTGGAGGCGACGTTAAACCCCATTTCACCTCACCTCACCTCACCGCTTCTGGATACCATATGTGGTAAAGTTCGATTTCAATTTTTTTTGTCTTGTCATTGAAACTGTGAAAATGGCTGTGATTGGTATGCTGAAATAATTTTCCATTTGTCTAATAAATGTACATGTGACATATTGTGATCATACAAGGTAATTGATAACTAATTATGTATGGGTAGATACTGTTAGAGCCGAACTTTAGGTATTTGTAGTTCATTGAAAATCCTTTTAATTGCAACTTTGTTAGGGTTTGTCTGTGTACGTGTGTGCATGTGTTTAGTATAGTTTTAAAATAAAACATAAGAAACAGCCAGCCCTTGCTGCCAGCGGACGTTTCAGGCTATTTTCCCAGGGGTTGGTGACAGCAATAGTATAATGTTGCAGCTAAGACTTAAAAGTCAATTGTCTGTGGAGTGGAGTCGTAGAGGTCGTGACCTGATCAACCGCGATAAGCATCCCACAAGTATTTCAGAAATAGATTTGGACGAATGAGTGTGAGAAAGAGAATTTAAGATATGAAAGAAGTAAGACATGGTTCTAAGAGAGTGTAAAAAGATTGTGTTAAGGGAATAGAGGACATACGGTTTTTCAACCTGTCCCAGCCACTGTCCAAGTTACTGTCCGAGCCACTGTCCGAGTCACTATCAAAGTTACTAAGTTATTATCCTGCATCTATCCTGCAACTGTGCTGCAACTGTTCATTATATTACGATTTATTCAGGGAGTGTGTGATATATTATTCAATCATTGTGTGGATATTCACTAATCTATGGAAATATGTTATATGGAATTTGTGAAGTTAAAGACAATATTAAAGTGCTGGATCGAGTTGCATCTTTGATATCCTCTATCTCCAATAATTAGATATTTTGAAAGTTCACAGACACTATCTAGTAAACATTAAAAATTCCCCAGAAAATGGAATATATTATAACAAGATAGGGTTCGTATTTTCAACATTCTGCAATGGGATAATAATGAATAGACTTCCAAATTATTGATGTAAAGTGTTCTCTGATTTATGGTATGATAATCTGTCACAAGTCTTAAAAATTTATTTAATATGTCACCTGTTGTATCAGCAATGAGTATGCGATTTTGCAAGTTTTATATTCGTCATTCAATATACCACCTGTTTTTCCTTTCATGACAATAGATTCCCTACATATACATTTATCTGTGATCCTCTATTTCAATTTTTTTCCTTTCGTAGAATGTGATGAAAAGGGAAACTTTACTTGAAATACATTATCACGTATGTTTTTTAATGTACATATTTACCAAGGTTTGAATAGAATGTTAAAGTCGCTTTGATTTATAAACAAATATGAAAGAAAAAGTTTTATTTCACGGATTAGCCATACAAGTATATTTTGAGTAAAGGTCCAAGTAAGGCAGTCAAATGCGAAATATAAGGTGAGACAAGGATGTATGTTTTCTAGTGGTCAATGTGAAACAAATTTGTTCGATTATTGAGCACACGAATAGTATATAAATTGAACATAACTTTAATGTTTAATTAATATTTTAGTTAACTTTCTTTCACTTAAATTAGATAGTTAAAGTACTGTAAAAACTAAAATATTTTATTCTTTCCCCTACGTAAGTTATCGTTTTCATCATATTAAAAATAGCATACTCTACACTTTTTGTGCTTTCAAATTCAAATTTTAAAATTGTCCAATATTCACGTTCAAGGAGTTTTATAAATTAGAATTAAATCATTAACAACACACCACAACACCCATAGTATAAATAAGCGGTCTGTGTGATTACACAATGAAGTTATATGCTTGTATCACATGGCCCCCAAGTGACTAGTGATTAAAAATAGGTTTGTTGAATAAATTTGCTGATGATGAAAACGTTTTAACGATTTTGATTGTATGTATTCTTGGGTGATATCATCTCGTTATTTATTAAGAAATACTAACTATGTGCGAAATTGAGGCGGATTGTCTGGACAATTTACCATGTCAATTACCCCGAAGTTGTTTTTATCACTAATGGAAGGGCATTGACATTGAAACCTATATGGACGTAACAGGAATTACATAAAGATATATAATTTAAACTGTCCTTCTTATTGTAACATAATCTTTGACAGTCTGCGTATGAACTATTCACGACCACTTTCGCTTTGACGTAAACACCTGACAATTTCATCGGGATGTTTTCTCGATAAATTAAACTTACGGACAAACCCAATGAATGTATACTTCGACATTAATGTCACATGTGTGGCAGTAATAGATCTGGTATATTTCTTGAATTTTTACATGCTACGTATAATTCATGTACACAATTAAATGCTTTTTCATTCACAGTTTTAGTCATCTTATTTTATTGTATTAAACATTACACTATTTGTCATAGCCCTTTTACTAAGCATGCTGTAGCCTAAGCCCTTTCCCCACTCAAGTCCTGTTGTTTATGTGACCAGCTTGGGTACTCAGTTCAGCTGTATACTGGACACCCCAGAAGGTCAGTGGTCACTCCACACAAGTTCTTCAAAGGATAAACATGTACTGTAAATCTTAAATGAATGCGTCTCCAAATGAATACGACTTCTGGCCTCCCTAGCCAAAAATAAGACTTATGAATGAGACCTCAACCCCCAACCTCCCCCCTAATTTATTATTGGATTGAGGATTTTATTCATTAATTGTATCTACAATATTGTAGATATAGTTAGTTTTGGGATATATAGTGAGCATTGATAGAAATACACTCATTTATTTCCAGATTAACACTGAGTACGTCAACGGGTCAATCTTCCAGGTTCCATACTCATCATCCTTGCTTAACTTCACCACTTGTCTTTGTGCACGACGTGGTATATGGGTGGGGCATTTTCTATTCATTTATTTTGTTGAAAATATTGATCTCTTTATGACAATTTCTTTTAAAATAGGCTTTTCTAAGGAAAGTACGAGGGGTTGATGAAAAGTTTCTGAATTAACTACTCAGCATGTATTGTAAGTGCAGCCTTAACATTTGACGAAAATATACAGACTTGGTGTCAACTTTATTGATGATGCTCCTTCCTTTGCACTGTTAGGAAGTGGGCAGCAGAGTTCAAGAAGAGAAGAGAACTGTCACAACTAAGAAAATGTTTGATACAATACATAATATGATTCTCCAATTCCTGATAAGAAATGTTCCATGTTCATCTCATCAGAATTTAGGTTGTTTTGAAGCAGACCTTGCTGATTTTGTGGAGTAATTTGTAACCATGAATGAATCTTGGGTTCCATCAGCTGGCAATGTTAATGGCTTTGGTTTTCAAAAGTTTGGTTTGGGATTCAAAAGGAAACATACTGGTGGACTGTATCCGAAATTGTCACACATTTAATGGCCAATATTTTGCTACTCTGCTTTGGCAACTGACTAGAATATCAAGACTAAACATGGTGGAAAACGCAGTTAAAGGTATGTTGCTGCACCAGGAAAAAGCCATTCTGTTGTCGCAATGGCTGAAATGTGTGACAATGGCTTTGAACTCATTGAACAACTCCATTCCACCTCTTCCCAAAATGAAGAAAGAACTGTCTGGCAAGCAGCACTATGCAAGTGATGATGTCATTTGTTCTGTTGAGGACTTTTTCCACCACAAGGCATACACCTTCTACACCAGTAATATGGAACCATCTTTACCAATCCAGTCCATCATAGTCAGCATCAGAACTTTTCAGCCACCAATCGTATGGGTTGCATTTATATAAATACCCACTAATAACAGTACCTGTAGTTGTTTACAATTGTTTCATAAACCACACAACACAGTTCCTAAAACAAAGTTTATTTTGATTGTATCTGTGTGACTGAAATGTGTTTTCAATAAAGTACACACCCACCAATGAAACATGGATAAAACATCTTTGGCAGCACCATATGAAGCAATGAGACAACATAGCATGACTTCTTGTGGGAATAACATATTGTCAATACACTGGACATATAACTAGAGATTCATCATCATTACATAAAACAGCCATACAGTGAAGGCTTGTTAATCCAAATTGTACCATTCCAACTGGAGTCAATGGAAACGGAACAATGTTCCTTTGGGTATATTGAACTTCCTATCAAGATATTCATGAGCGTGAGTGGATTTTCAGGACTAACAGTGTCTGGGCAAAACTGGTTTCACTGCATGCTTCATTTTGAAATTCAAAACATTAATGTTAAGGAATGCACTCAAGTTGAAGTTTTACTTTTGTGAAATATCATGCTGTGCATCTGCGTTGACATAAGTCAATGTTTTCACCAGGAAATGTTATATTGAACAGAAATTGTAAAAAGAACATAAGGATGTACAGTTTCAATCTGGTTTCCCTGTAGATGACAATGTCTGGCCTCTATCAAGACACGTACTTGCCACACATTTTGTTGGTGTCTAGGGCCAAATATTGAATAGTTTTAATTGTAATTAAGTTGTTATTAAGATAAAACATTTACGACAGTTCACATAAAACTGCAAATTTTCTTTGCATAGTTAAAGATCTAATAAACAGCCATCCTGATGAGGATAAATGTCAACACTGCCATTTTCCATGCAGGCACAATGTACATTCCTTGTACATGTAACATTTAATTTTCTCTGTGGAATATGAAATTCATTAAACATGTGGAATGTGTAGTATGTATACATGTGTACAATCCGAGGGGAACAAAACATTTATATGAAAAAAATAATGAAAAGATTGTGTGAATGACATTTATGAATAAATATTAATTAAATCAGCAGACAAAAATGACTTAATGTTCCTCTGTGCAAAAGATTGAATTTGATATAAATGTAAATAACTTTAACAATTCATAAATAAATATAATATAAACAATCTAAATGTGAACAAAGTAGGGAGATTCAGTGTCCATCCATTGGTCAACGTTCAATAATTTGTTAAAAGTGAGGTTACATTGATTGGTCTTAATTTTTAACACTGACTGCCAAGTGACAAAAAATATATCAAACTATTTTATTTTTTGCATTCATCTTCCACACATTCATGATTCTGAGGGTTATGACTCTGAATTGTATTAAAGACTGAATCAAGTACTCAGAGTAACAATAGACATGGAGCCTCCCAAATATCTCTGCTTTAATTTAGAGTTAAAAAGAAGTTTCTCCCTTTCTGATTGCTGAACAAGATACTGGCAGGTTGGAAGCCTGGGTCTGAACATAATGTACAGTAAAAGAATCATCACTACTAGCAAGGATATACGATATGTATTCAATATACACATGAGTCAGGGTTCTGGTCGCTCCTGTACAAATTCCATATTTTGGCCATTGTACCATTTAGTGGATCAAATAACTCATTTATTTCTAAGAATGTCAAGGATGTTAACTGCTTGTATAAATACTATTGGAATCACATCGAAGACCATAATCAATATTCATTAAGATGTAGACAACTTATGATTGATTATTGATCAATCATTTTGTACCAATAATCATATACAAGGTTCATATAGGTTCACACTTTTCATTTTCAAGGTTTTCTTAGTTGAGTTATTAGTCTTGTCAATATTTTATTACATCCAGCATGCCATACTATTATATCATACTTTCAAAAACAGTATAAACATCAGATATTTTCGAACAAGATATATTTTCAAACGCCCCAAAAATTGAATTGTCACAAATTCTTTTTTGTTTTTGACACACACTTCTATCACTGTGATAAATCTCACTTAAAACATTATGGGTTCATATTTATGTGTGCTTTGATACTTTTATCAACAAGTATATGTCATTTTGTACAAATTCAAGGTTTCCAAGCTATGTTGGTGATTTTCAAGTTTTCTCAATGTTGACACTAAAAATCAAGCCTATTCAAGAGGGACCTTAAAGTCAAGACCTATTTCAAGCCTGTACAACCCCTGATATGATTGTAAATGTACAGAACCTGTTTAGCGTAATGTGTAGTAACAATGTAGATTTAACTTTGGATATCCTGCTATTACTTGGTAAATTAACTCTCTCTCACTCGCTCTGTTATTTGATGTCTGGAAATTTTGTTTCATACAATGGCATCAGCCTGAGGTTTCAAATTGTAAAATACCAAGGCATAACATACTCAAAAACAAACAAACACAAACATGTAATAATTATTGACATTTTAAAATAGAAAAGTTGTCAATCTCTCTCTCCCTCTCTAATTTGTTTTTCTTAAAAGGGAAAACATAATCAGTTTTCTTCAAATACAGTGGCATAAAGAAGACATAAAATAATATTCAAATGTAAAAATAGTTAATATATATTTATACATAAATTCATTTATTAAATGAGTTTGATTTAGGTTGAAATGAATCCTCAAACGGTGGGTGTCAGGTATTGGACCATATGCTGGGTGTAAGGTTGTGGTGTCTTAAGGTGGAGAGACAGGTATTGGAGAGATAAAGTGAGTGTCAGGTATAGGAGTCTGAACTATGAACTACTCAATGCAAAGCTAACAGTCCTCATATCAATCAGCCAGGCCACAAAACAGACCTATAGATCTATGAACCTTAGACTCAATTCAGAGCACCAATGGTTTGGGTTGGAACAATTTCAAAGTTTGTTGTACACAGCAACCAAATGATGAGATATTTGGATCAGGCAGCAGCAGATGCTCACTGGAATCACTAGAACTAACAATAATGTAGGCTAGGTCTTTGGAAGCCCTAAATGTAGCTTTGGCTAAAGCCTTGTATGAGATTCCAAGACGAGGGTGGATCAACCAGTAACATCCACCTTCATGTGGGGCCTTCTCTAACAAAGTGTATTATCATGTCAAAGCAAGCACAGATTTACTGGTACACTATCAAGCACTGGTATGTCTACTACAGGTTAGAGTGAAATCATTCAAGTATTGTAATATTGCTTTGAACCTATGGTCATATCAGGAAGAGAATTTATGGATGTCAAATTCTTTATTATGAGGAACACAATGTTTCAAAGTATACGCTTACTCCTTTCATTGGTACATTCACCTGATGAAGGAGTAAGCATATACTCCGAAACGTTGTGTCTTTATAATAAAGAAGTTAACATCTATAAATGCTCTTCCTTAAGTGTATCACTTCTAAATGCATTTCAAAGCATTTCATATCCACTCTCAATACTCGAAGCATGGTGGACATAACACCAACATAGTACAGATGAGTTCTAGCTAATCATAGTATCAGACAATTATTTCACCAAGAGTTTCTAGTGTCATTAATCTGAACACAGAAGTTACATAGTTATATTTCTCTGTACCTCCAGTTCACCTTTAAGTGAACAAGGAAATGACTTAAAGGTAAAATTACCGGTACATGTTTATACAAATTGATCAATAAAGATATTTAATAGGTACAGTAAGTAAGGCAAGCTTTTCAAGGCAAACATTGAGAATTGCATAGCAAGTATGGATTAAAGTATCCATGCAAAAATAAATATCTACTATAGTGAACATCAGATGCACTCCTGTACAAACATATATATACAACTTAGCTCATCATCTCTCAGACAACGGGTTTCAGGTTTACTACAGTAAATGTAGTGTTAGAAATTAAGCATGGAAAGTCAACGGGTCTTTGTTATAATGTAAAAAAATGGGTTTCTTTAGATTCAAATACGAAGTCCCCAAGCATCCCAGGAACCCCATTATAGTGTTGAATTTATATGTTGAATAGTGCTATATGTATACAGCAGGATTTTACATTACACATTTTCTGTATCCATCATGGATGCAGAGGGATGCACTATAATATTCATTGTATCTAATTCTTGACAAGAAATATAAAGTGCTTGTATTTATAGTAATTATCAATCTAAAAGTACAGTACAGTATACTACTCAATTTCATTACTTTAGAGGACGCTCATATTTTCGGCAAGGATCCTTGAAACTATTTATTGGGGGTCTCCTAGTTTTGTTGGTGAAGTTAAACCCTGAATACAGCATATCAACATGATTACTTATAATTGTCAACATTTAAACAAACACTAGCCTAAAGGCTATGTAGCTCACCTTTGTAAGAGCTGACCTAGTTCAATATTTTTGTATTCATATTGAGGTGCGTTTAACACCATTTTGAATAGTAGTCAGACAACATGAGCGTGAAGTAAAACAAAATGATGCAGGTCCTTAGTGTTCTCTACTGTGGTGAAACTTACAAGCATGGGTATGGTGCTGACAAACTAAGAATATTAATCTCGATTAATCTGGGATTTGAACTCACAATGAAAGGGTTCTGGTAGGACTGTGGGATGCATCATTGCAGAATGAGTTGCACTGCCTTAGACTGTGATCTTCCTGGGAATAGTTTCAAGTTTCAAAGTCTTTGTGGTTTTAGGTATATTAGGCTTTGTTGTCGCAACTGTAAAAGATTTAGACAGTTGGATGCAGAGAATGCACCACACCAAGAGCTCACTTGATCTGGAAAGTTTATGTATAGTGGTGATAGACAACAGACAACTTCCACATCTCATGCTCACCTTTCCATGGACAACCAGGTGAGTTCAGTCAGTATAATCTGTCAACACGTTGTTACTTGATATGTCATCCATAAGATAATATTCAAGTCTGGAATATGAATTTCACTTATTTCTATCACATTTGAAAACCTGAATAAGTCATTTCTGTGCCCATCTAACCAGAGCAAAAAGTAGAAAGCTAATTCTTACAACACACAACAGATATTTTGAAATGTGATACATGCGATCAAATTTACATAACCAGTACATAATGAATCATATAAATATGACATCAGTCATGACAAATTCTTGTTGATATCAGCTCACACAAAACTATGGTACATAAAGAAATTCTAATTCACAATGAAAGCCAACATAACCATAAATCTGTTTGTTAAATAATCAAGAAAAGTCAACTGCAATGTTTAGTGTTTTCCCTCCGCAAATAATCCAAAGTACAAACATTAATTTCAGTATTGTAAAGCACAAGGTTAACATCTAATTTGTACTTCAATAAATTTCCCTCTGATTTATTTCAAACAAACTTGAATGTATTTATTCATTTAAAACTGAATCATTTAACACACCTATTGGGAACATAAATCGGGGATAGACGTCATGTGTTAACACAACCTGTCTGTCGTATTTCTGGACTTGTTAAACTACAGATCCTTACAAATGTCTGACCAGTTTCAGACAAGTGAATCCTGAAATGTGAACACTTTGGGAAAGTTCCAAATGGAAAGATGGACACAGCACCCTTTAGCTGAACTTACACTCAGGTAATAGTAAGATGATTTTATCACCGGTTTACATAATCATCTATATATGCAATAATAATCATTTGTTTTCTGGCAAGTACTTGCTCTTTTCTTCCCAGTTGGAGAGAAGCCTGGTTTAGAGCATATTGAACAACACACATCAGGCTACATCAGCATTGACAGCAGGAAGAAGTAAGGAGAGTAGCTCGAAGAAAACTACAGTTTGTATACCCTCACTAGCCTCAAGCACAATGTCACACTCTGAACCAGTACAGGATCAGACAATTTCAGTCACAATTCAAGGCTCTCCCTCTTGAGCCTATTTTCTTCCAAAAAGGCTGTCATTTCTTTTTAAGTGATTTCATTTTTCAGGATCAGATTACTGTAATTAACCCCTTAAAGGTGGCCATCAAGTAGACATTTCATAAATGACATGGGTGTAGGCTTCATGTGACAAAAACAAATGTTTACTTGAATATATTGTTTGTTTTACTAGGTATGTTTAAACAAGACTGACCATGTGTGCTGAAAAGGACTATGATATAGATAGTGGTTTCCCCCATGCGTGAGTTCTTATGTAAACAAACATGGCTGTAAATCTTTTGGCACTATATCATAAATGAGGCAGTTCACTCAGGCTTTTTAATGCTACGTGGTTTCTAAAGTTACTCTAGTGAATAGCAATGTCATTTTGAAACCCGAAGAGGCTGTGTAGGCTAGGAGACAAATTTGCATCAACATGTATGAAAGACATAAAACACCTACAGTAAACAATCAACTACCGGTAGGCAACAACAAAATGATTATTTGTTAATCAATATATTTAAAATATTTAAGTGATTTCTTTTTTCAGGATCAGATACTGTAATTAACCCCTTAAAGGTGGCCATCAAGTAGACATTTCATAAATGACATGGGTGTAGGCTTCATGTGACAAAAACAAATGTTTACTCGAATATATTGTTTGTTTTGCTAGGTATGTTTAAACAAAACTGCCCATGTGTGCTCAAAGGGATTTTCATCATGGCATACTTAAGCCATGTGTCACTTTAGGACTTCCAGCATCATAGTAGGACTCATGACTTGCTCATTCCATATCTAATAGATGTGGGCTGATATATATCTCTGCTAAGGCTCGGCGATGGAAGAAAATATCTAAAATTTAAAATCACTAACATCGAATCACGCCATTTGATATTCTGACAGAAACAAAAAGATAACCAATGCTAAGAAAAAATAACCAAATCTTTTCATCACTCAAGCAAAATATTGTCTGCCTGATGGGGGCAGGGAATCTGATGGACAAATAACTGATATGTCGTGGAATTAATGCTCATAATAGTTGTATATTTACACCAAGTATACTGTACATGCATCTGTGCAAACAGATTTGAATAAAATCATTCCTTAGTTATTCTGTTATACTCACAGGAGCATAAAAGATTTCTTCAAAGCTTTCATAAGACCATAGCAAAATGTAGTGAAATTCTGACTAGGCGTGTCAAAATATGACTACCTCAAGTATCAATACTTGAGTCGTGATACAATATACATTGCTATACTTAATTTGCACCATATTGTAAAATTCTCAATATTCCATGTGGCTCTGCTAACAAGAGGTTGTTGCCATCAACCAGTTTGTGTTGGTAAATTAAGGCTTTTTCTAACAGTATTATGCAATAAGATTTAGCGATTTGTTTCATGATGGGTGGTAAAGTAACAGTTCCCCAAGTAGTTATCAGGCCAGGTTATTGCAACACTTCGTAAGTATTACCTTTTTGATACAGAATAAAAACATCGATCCATGGGCAGGCATATAGTGTTTCATATTGTCAGGTGTATACTCACGATGCATGGATACGTGGGTAAACCATGACACCGTGTTGCACACACCATCCAAAATCGGAATGTGCTGTTCTCAGATATAATGCATCCTCAATTATCCAGTGCATCAAATCTCCATTCTATTCTGATACCCTGGACCCATAGTGTCAGTCATTTGAACCAGATGCAACTGACATGTATGATGGTTTAAGGATCCAAGGTATATACATGTATCATAATAAAATGGATATCTGATTTGTGGGATAATTGAGGATGGATGGAATGCTACTGTGAAATAAATGCACAGCAAAGACAAAAAGCCTCATTAAGTTCTTAAAACATTTAAAGTTGCTAAATTTTTGGCAAACATAGCTGGTCATAAGGGTTGCCCCAGTTTCTGTAAGAATCAAAGATAAAAATGTCAAGTTCTAACCAAGGCTGGCATGATTTTCAATGTCTTCAGTTATTCTTATCTTCCAGCCTTATTCCTTCATGCCATTTACTGGTCAACTAAATAATTGTAAATACATTGGCCCTTATGTAACCTTTCCTTTCGGCCTAAGATTCCAGTTTAACATAATAATCATTCTTAATAATTGCTCATTCTTGCTCACTTGGCTGTAGATTGTTTACAATATGGCACAACACGCCCACTTGCTGTAGACTGGTCGTACGCCCTTGTCTTCATCCTCATCATCATCCTCTTCTGATGTGATCAGTTGCGATGTGTCAGAGTTATTCCGGCCAGTCATGGACTTGTCTATCACAATTGCTGAGTTGTCATTTTCAGAGAGGGAATAGCTGGAGTTCTTCTGATCTTGTGTGTTTAATATCTGCCTGCACATGTCATAAAAGGGCTGAAACAGACAACATACATATGAAAGAGTGAGTGGGTATGGTTTTACACCTTTTAGCAATATTCCAGCAATATCACAGTGGGGGACGCCAGAAATGGGCTTCACACATTGTACCCATGTCGGAAATCAAACCTGGGTCTTCAGCGTGATGAGCGAATGCTTTAACCACTAGGCTACCCGACCGCCCCATACTAATGAAAGAGATAATTGCTCTACATTTCACTGACATGCAGATTAAAACTGAAATCAAGTGTATTTGTTTGACACCACAGTGGGTATTTGGGGGCAAACTGGGTCCCAAGTACCTCATGCTTGGCATCTTGGTATAGTCTTTTGATCGTTCCTCTTGCTATCAACCACCTTACCCTGTAAAGACTAGATTACTTACCAATCTTAAGGGCCACAGTGAATACAGTTTGCTAAAGTGTAAAACAACATTCACCCACTCACATATTTGTTGAAAATGTTTTTCAATATATATTCTTTGGTAAATATCTTTCATACAAGAGACATGTAAGACTGTCTTTCTACAATTCTCTAGGGCAAGTCTGGAACTATTTTGGTGGTAAAATATAAGAGAGCACATAACAATAATGCAAAAAAATGTCCACAGAATAAATAGTGAGTGAGTGAGTGAGTGAGTGGGGTGAGTGAGTGAGTGAGTGAGTGAGTTGGGTTTAACACCACTTTTAACAGTATTACAGTTATATCGTGGCGTGTCAGCTAAATGTGGTAGGAAAGCCAGAAGTGATGCAGGTCTCAGACGGTTACCACTTCGGTGAAACCCACGAGCACGGGTATGGTGCTGACAAACCTAGAAACATAATCGGGGCGAACCGGGATTTAAAACCCACACTCGTAGGTTTCTGGCGTACCCAAGGGATGCAACTCTGCACAGCAAATCATGGTGCCTTAGACTGGGTCACCCGGCCCCCCAATTGGCTAAGGTAATTACAAGCATATGCATAACTTATTTATTTACACTGCTGCAATATTTTTGCATCTTGTGTTAACAAAGAAGTTGTCATCCATACAATTATTATTCAGATCAAAATAAGTCCTTGAGTGAAATGTTGGTATGCGGTTTGTTCACTAGATTGCCAAATAGTCTCTTTTTTATACATGTTCCCTTATATTTTGCATTCAGTATGTATACCTCAACAGTAAGTATTACCTGATGAGAAAAGCAATGTTGACTTTTATACAGCTGATCATTCTTTACAAAGATGAACACTTACAACTTCCAAATTTTCTCTCTGTTTAGCGCTAACTTCAAAGAACTGACAGTCATTATCCTCGGCGAACTGGAACAAAATACCAAAAAATAATCACCTTTATGGGAAAAAATATACATTTATATAGGATGTCATATGCCACATAGCGTTAATGTCACAACAAACTGCAAATATTTCTTTGTAGGTTTTTCTAAATATGACATTAAATGTGTTCAAGCATCTGCTCTTGGCAGTTTTTATCTCAGAACCTGGTGAGTTAAGGAGCTGCATTAAAACAGGTTGTGAAAATCCAAAATTAAAAGTTAAAAGAAGCTTGTCAAAAGTTCAGTGAATTTGTAACCCTGCTCTCCGCAATGTTCCAGCTTTATGTATATGATGGAGCAGACAATCCATGCGATAGAAATTGGCACTAGTCTTATAGTCCTTGCTAGTCTTATAGTCCTTGCTAGTCTTATAGTCCTTGCTAGTCTTATAGTCCTTGCTAGTCTTATAGTCCTTGCCAAACTGCCCAATAGTTAAAGTATCACAAGGACGAGTAGAAATTTGCCATTTTTATTCGGATTTGCCATATGTTATCATTATAAGGACGAGTAGACTAAAAATATTAGTTTCTATTGCTGCAATCCAGTGATTGATAGTATGAACAACAATCCACATCATCAGGGTACGACCAATCAAGTTACTGAGCCTGACCACCAAATCCACTTGGTCACCTCTTACGACCAGCACAGGTTGCAAGGGACCTATTCTAACCTGGTATCCCCACAGGAACAGTGAAATTGGAACTTTCTATAAGAATGATAAGAAAGCATCTTTTAGAAGCAGGACATCAAAAAAACTGAATACAGCATGTCTGATTTTCACAAACCCTTTCAGCCTCTTCAGAATCAACTTTTCTGGAGTGGTCTTCATCCTTTTTATTGCCCATCACCATTATCACTGTGTCTTCCTTCGCAAACTGGAAAATAGTTTCAAGCAAACATCTTTTGTCACACAGGTCAACATTTTCATTCAATTGTCAATAAATAAATTGCAAGAGATTCTATGGATTTTGATTGGCTAACCAAGCAGTTTGTGTGTATATATGTTTCCATAAACCTAAAAGAATTTGATCAATGTCCACCACCGCTACTTTTTCCTGATTGGATGATAATTGAGTGGGCAGAGCTTGTGTTGCATTTTAGCACTGGATTCTTGTTTCAATGATTAAATGGGCAGTTTTTGAAGTAACTATTTTTAATAAGAACTGACCTCAATGTATTTTTTTGTGTTGTATAAACGTAACAGCAAGTGTGCACATTATGTGTGAATCTGAATAAACACAAAAAATATTGAAGTCAGTTCTAAATTTCCTTCTTCATGTCCCACCGTCATGAATAGTAAGCCATAGAGTTAAACTGCACGACTAATCTGTGAGTTCATCAGCTCCTCTTCACAGTGTACTATACCGTGTAGTAATAGGGCACCACTGTGTGCTATTATTAAGATATCATTGATCTTTAGAATAACTTTTCATCAGCACAATGGATTTCCTCGGCATGTATTTCCTCTTACATGGGAATTAGAATATCCTTCCTCATAGCAGGTTGAGCACTACCAAATAAATATTCATATCATAGGGAAGCCTTTGGGGTCAAACTATTCCCTTTTCATTTGTAATGCAAGTAGAACGTAGGGTTTCATGTGCAGTTAATCCCAAGGGATCTGAATCTCAGATTCACCCTGATTACATTTCTTGGTTTGTCCGCACCACACCAGTGCTCACGGGTCACCAAGGTGGTAAATACCTGAGACCTGCGGCCCTTTGAGCTTTTCTCCCACATTAAGCTGACATACCATGAATTAACTCGAGCATTCTTCAAGGTGGCATAAACACAACTCACTATGATAAGGTAGCCTTGTATACTGACCTGCCTGACATAGGAAATCCACTTTGGTAATGACTCGAAGGAACTCCGGCTGCATATATCATACACCACCATCACCCCCTGGAGAGAAAAGAAAAGGAATATAAAACAAATCAGTATACTTATCAACTATTCTTCTAGAAGACTGGTCAACGTTATAGATTGTCAATCCTATTCATGACCACTCTGTGACAATTAATTAATGCTATGGAAACATATTGAATAGTAAGATATATCAGATAAATACCAAACACAATGTTAACCTCAACAATAAATGAAGTTTTCTACTGTACCTGGGCCCTCCTGTAAAACTGTTTGGTGATGGCTTCAAATCTTTCCTGGCCAGCTGTATCCCTGAAAGAAGGAAACTAGTTCTAGGCTCACAATGAAGACTATCAAAACATTATCTAACTGTATTACATTGTATTGTACATGGGTAACATAAATTATACTTATTATACTTATACCTATGGTAGTATAACAAGCATTGTCCCAAGGCAAGGGAGTTAACCAACTTTAAAGTCCAGTTTCCAACCTTGCTGAACTAGGCTGGAATTTTTGGGCTCGGTTGTAGAGCCACCAGTGGCTATTACGATTTATGCCCCTTCTGTGTCACCCTACTGACCAATCAGATTCCACCTCTCATATCTCTTGCACTTGTTTCTATGGTGGTGCCCAGTCAAGACAATTTCATGAATGATAAAGATCTTTATAGTGATAAAACAGGTTTTACCTCGCGAAGTGCATCAAATCACTTAAGCACCTTGATTAAAATATTGAAAAGATTTGGAAAATGGCAGTTGCCATGTTGTTTATGAACCGGATGTCGATTTCATTTATTTTGTTTTTTGTTTGTTTTGTTTAATGCCGCACTCAGCAATATTCCAGCTATATGACGGCGGTCTGTAAATAATCGAGTTTGGACCAGACAATCCAGTGATTAATATCATGAGCATCGATCCACGCAATTGGCATACGAACGACAAGCATAGTCGCCATTTACGGCAAGCATGGGTTGCTGAAGACCTATTCTACCCTGGATCTTCATGGGTCTCAATTTCGTTACAGGATTTTGATTGGACTATGCATAGACACTTTAGTCCAGCCGAAACATAACTCCATAATTCCAGCCTAGTTCCGCAAGGGTGGAAACTGGATTTTTAAAGTCAGTTAACTCCCTTTCCTCGGGAAGATGTATTACAAATATAACATTAATATGATTATGGTATTTTTCACTGTTTGCATTCTTAAAATAATTCTAGTTATTCAGTTCAGAAATAATCATAACTTAACCATGACAACAGAAAACATACCATATCTGCATCTTCACCATCTGCCCATTTACTTCTATGGTTTTGACTTTAAAATCAACTCCTGAAAAAAAACAGAATTGTCATAAAAAGGGGGTGGGAAATAAAAAATGTAATGCATAAATACATTTGTTTCCAAAAACTATAAATCAACCTAGAACGGGAAAAACAAATATTGTTACCTTGAACTTGTATGTTTAATACCTTTTTCAAATTTGTGCAACATTTCACATGAACATCACAAACTGAATTTTCTAAAACACAATACTACTAATGGTTTTGGTACATAAAAAAGGGCAGATATGCCTGACATTTATTACAATGAACATGATGAATAAAATATTGATTAAATCACTCCCAAACATAGAATAGCATATGTTGTTACAATGGTGTATGAAGTGTAATGCCACCCATAACGTCTATGATCATTATTCAAAATATTATGTAAAACATATTTCACTAAAACATGTAAAATGCACACAATTATGACAAATATCAGGGATTAAGATTATCATCTTCCATCCTATAGAACTTTAAAAAAAAAGTGGGCAGGGACAGAAATGTTTTTTTCCAGTATGCCACAGGGCACTCACAAAGATATTTAGGTGATATACTTTGCCACTGGCACTGTAATACAAGGAATTTCAAACCCCAGTACACTACTTGCCTGACAAATTTCCATGATTTTTCAAGGATAAAAAGCCAGATTTCAATGGTATTTCTATCAATGAAAATAACCACAAAATTTTACCCTTGAAGATCAGGGTAAAGAATAGATCTTCAGCAACCCATGCTTGTCGTAAGGGGCAACTGCCGGCATGCTTGTCATAAGAGTTGACTAACGGGATATTGCTAAGTGCGCCATTTATCAACAAAAATACAAACACAACGGAAAATAACAAACTTTGGGAGGTGTGAACTCAGCTGTAACATTGAAAATGATGATGGTTGAGTTTTATTATTTTGCTGTTACTGATAGATCACCAGAACTATTTCAATGACTTTATAAAACAATTCTTTTCTCCAAAACTATTCCAGGCCTGGGACTCCATAACTCACAGATATCCTGCTGGTTCGCAATTATTTTGAGGTCATATATTGTTATATATTATAATATATATATATTATATTGTCTTTTGTTTTAACACAGCTGTGAATCATAGTTATTTAAAAAGATCAATGACCAAATACCATGTATAAGCACCAAAGCTTCTGCTCTGTCATGTAAATAAATCTACCACAATCCGTCACTCCCCCGCAGCTGAAAGCATCAGTTTAGCCTCCTGGGAATTTGTGGGCTCGACCATGGGCAGGACATATTTACCCGAACCTACACACCTGACCCAGTAGCCTTGGCAAGCCAGGTCAGGCCATCCGTGTGTGTCACAGGGCATACCTCAGTCTAACTGCCTGTCAGCGCTATCAAAGACAAGAATCTGGTCTACAAGGTCCATGTGTAAACATCACCTTAACCTGTACCCTCGGTGACAAATGTGTACAAGCAGGACTGTTTGGCTACAGTTAATACACTTAATATAATGGCTACAAATAAGACACTGGTCTGTTAGCAGCAGTGATTTGGATGAGGAAATACCCACGTCTAGTCTTGAGTCCAGTGTTCTTATCCCTATACTGTGTTAAAGTGGGCATTATCACTGAATAATCATTTTCAGTTGTTTGTATAAACATGTTAGCTAATTATACGATCTTGCCAGCACATTAATTATAGTACAGCCCAACAAATGGGTGAGTCAGCTAAATTTGTCAATGGCTGTTACTGCCAATGTTTTTCATTTCTGAAATTTGACAAAAAAAGGACTTATTCAAAATTGGTTTTAAATTTTATTTTGGCATTAACACAAAATGGGGCAGTGCTTTTGGCCAATTGCCACATATAGGTTTAATAAAACCTCTTGTTTTTGCCTAATATACACATTCCATGGAAGTATCTTCATCATATACAACCAACTGCTGCCCAGGCAAGCCATTCTGGTCTTGTCGTTAATTTATATTCAGTTTAATATTATGTGCAAACACAATTGTCAAGACACAAATTTTCACAGATTTTCATGCCAATCAATAATCTGCCATTACTTGTTCTCCGACACAGAGCCACTCTACAAGGGGAATGGGAAGATAATTGTGCAATATTATAGTCAAATAAGCTTCCAAAGATATCCCAGTTGTTTATCTCTACATCAACCAAGGGCCCAATGTCATGTATACTACTCAAAAGAAGTTAAGGATCCCCTGAATCTCTCATATTACTATAGTTAATCTCTCATGTCATGACATTAACTTTACCATTATGAAAGAATTGGGTGATCCTTAACTTCTTTTGAGTAGTATATATGCAGACATTAATCCTTTTTCATTCAACCATGCTAATCTCTCCTGAGGTTCCTTCATTTCTTGTTAATGGACGTCAATTAAATATATGTCCATACAAAGTCAATGTGGCTTTAAATTAAAATATATTAATATGCCCAAAACCATGATATTACACCAATGGATGATTTATTGTCAATTCATACTGCAAAGGTTACGCTTGAGACATTCTTTAGAACGAGGTTCACTATAATGCCAATATTTGGATCAGTCACAATGTTGATACAGCATTAAAACACCATTATGCTGTTGCACATTCAGTAATGTATTGGTAATGGTTTTCTTCAGTGATGCATGTAACGATGACTATCCGCACAATTACATCTGGAATTTACAGAATTATTTATAATATTTAGGCCATGTAAACATAGTAGACAGTATTACTTGAGTCTCATCAAGGGCATAATAAGACTTTGAAATGAATATTTTTTTTAATTATTTTTTATTCTTGGTTCCACAGCAATTTAATTTTCAATGAATCAGTTTGTGTAATGATTTGTTCTTTATTATTTACAAATTTTGTGGTTCTGTAGACAAAACAAATTTTCATTTTCTTTATCATGTTAACACAAAGGGTAATTTTGGGAGTAGGTTTCATGTGAAAAGAAAAATGCCCTACCTACTTAATTAAGGAAACTTCTGTTTTTGTCACCTATAATGGAAACATTTGTATGCAGAGAAACTTCAGTTAGCATGGTTAGTGAGAAGAACAATACCCAACCAAAACTATAAGAGACATAAAAAGAAAATAATTAAAAATTAAATTAGACTACTGAACACGCTGAACGTTTGACCAGACATTAATCCCTGAAATATTTTATCCTTTCATGAATATTTTAATCACTGACATGGCAATGAACAAAAACTTCGAAGCAAAGTATTTATCATGTAAATTGACAGAGGGTAAATATTATCATTAATTAAATCCTTCCTACGTTTAATTGCATCTAAAACTGGAATGTTTACAATGGATGCCACAGATCAAAGAACAAATTGAAGCACACAATTCAATATTTAACCCTGCAAGAGACCTCTAGTTAACAGTTTACTGCTGACAACAGTGAGATAGAAGGACATACCTGCCAGCTGCAGGTCATAACAAAATACAGGGGATCTCTCATCATGAAGCAAGCAGGGAATACCAAGTCTTCTTTATTCTAACATTCTATTTGCTTGGCAATGTTTGGTTTAAATTCACAACTCATTAATTGAGATTGTGTGTTTTCCTACTCACTGGTGAGAACATGGTATGAACATGATGAAAGTGTGTTATTGAGTCATTTTACAACTATCAAAACTATCATTTATCATTGTTTATAACCCCTGATAAATAATAAAGATAAGATCATAAAAATGCTAAAACCAAATGCTACTAATCACGCTGATATATCTCTTACTTCCGACATAATAAATCATTCTAATTCTTCCCTGCAAGTGTGACAGAAACAAATAAAAGTTTTTATCAAACATTGATTTATGTACCGTTTACTCTTGAGGCATGTACAATGTAATATACTTACTGAAGGTCTTTGCGTGAATAAGTTGGTAGCCATTATTAGTAACACATACATGATATATTCACAATCCAATAAAGTTCCTTTAAAGTACATTTTACTCAGAATCTCATTATCACTATAGACTCATTTAATCTTAAAATATATACACTGTATCTGGTGCATGTATTTGGATTGTTTTTCTTAGATAACTAAGAAGGAGTGAGTAAGAAAAGAATATGCTAAATGCCACATCAAGAGAGTGATTTAGGATGAAGTAATCAATATGTCTGAGATACTCAATAAACATCTTTTTATTATTATTTCCCTTTTCTAATAACAAGGCATCTCACATGTTATCCTTCACTTTGGGATTGATATTTTTTTCTTTGGGTATTCATTGCTATTCAATATATTTTCATTCCCTTAAATTCAGTCTATTGAGTATTTTTAAACAAATTAGTGAACCTTTTTATAACATAATTCTGCTCAAAATACTGTTTCAGGTGACTTTTAATTTCTACCTGTCCATGTCATGCTCCAACATATTTTTTTAAACATATTGCATAAGCTCACAACAGCTATACATGTCTACCTTACAATAGGCAAAACATAGCACATTTTGCATTATTCACTGAAGTTTAGTTCATATATACTTGATGCCTGCATTCTTCAGTAAATAACAGTCTGTACAGGAACAAAAACTGGAAAGGCTACATTGGGTAATTACACAGTGTCGTTATACTATTGGGTTGTAATCATTTCATGTGTATTTGAACTCAAGTAACTCAAAATTAATTGCGTTATGGTGATTTATTGTGCTTATTTTACGCAAATACTCAGCTTATCTGGGCCCTGGAGAAGCTTAACATTGCATAAAGGGTCCCATAGAGCATAATTAATTCATAGCTTCACAGTGTAAGCATTATAATAAATATACCCCACTTAACAGCATTTACCTTGTTACTTTTCATTGGAGAAAAACATTGTATAATATATAGATAAGAGCATGGTCCCTTATTAGGTGAGGTGAGGTGAAATGGGGTTTAACGTCACGTCCAAGATTATTGCACTTATATAGTGACGTGCATGTACGTGTGTGTGTTTGTGTGGCTGCTTGGGGTCAACTGCAGTATTTGGGTCCCCACTTTGTGTGTTTCTGTAAGAAAACTGCTCGCACGCGCAAGCGCGCCAAAATCCATTAGTCCGGACTGATGCAGATTTATAGTGCTAGCTCACTGAGATACCATGCCGCAGTTTAACATGAATACCCCACTCAGACACAGTATACTGACTCCGAGCCGACCAGTCTTTGTTTTAGCCCCTCAATGCCGAGCGCCAGACAGGTAACAACATGGTCCCTTATTAACTTCAGTTTACATTTTTTAAGACCCACAGGGCCCACTAGTCCAAAAGAACCTTAGCCCTACGACTATAATCAGTTTATGTTAGAGTATTGGAGTTATGATTGTCTGAGATTGCTTGTTCAGTTAGAATCAGGATCCTGATGGTCAATATTAGAGGACATCTCCCCAAGAGCCCCAGCTCTTTCTGCTTTCATACAGTGTAGGAACATTACCAAATATGTTCAAACTGCCTTTGTATTGAAATGTAATGGGGAGAATTCATTAGCTGTAAATGACCCAGGCCCTGCTTAGAGACTTGGCTCTTATTTGAAAGCCTTGACCCTGGATCCTGTCCTTGAGACTGGCCCCTGATAAAAGAAATATGGTATCTTTCACTCTGTAACTTATGCAAGGGCATCATCAAGTTATGTACACACATTCATAATATATGATACAATTTCTTACCCATCCTATACTTCTGTTTTTTCCCATTTGACAAGCATCCCAACAATTCAATTTGATGAGGCCCTGGGGCTAAATATGTCAAATATAATAGTGTCAAGTCAACATGTAAGAAGAATCTGCTGAAAATTGAAACTCTTACAAATACAAGTGAAAACAACAGTAGAATCTTACCAATAGTTGATATATGAGTGTTGCAGTACTCATGTTTAGTGTACTGGCATATGATGCATGTCTTCCCAACTCCAGTGTCTCCCACTAGGAGAAGACGTAATAAATGATCATATCTTTTTGACATCTTTGTTGTAAGCAGTGCTTGAAAAAAACTATCCTGGCTGGGTAATCCAATGGTTTACATTACAAAACACTGTACTATGTGTGTATTATGCAACACAGCCAAAATCTAGAAACAACACTAGATCACACACAGGGGATTCAAGCCCAGTACAGGATCACGACATTGACATTGTGTCAATATACCGACCACCATTGCAAAGCCTGTTTAAAATATCTTGAGACACTGTCACAGCTCCATCTTGTCTGCGCTATTCCCGGGGAAGGTGCCGTTACCGAGACCTGCCATATCACCAGGCTATTGAGGAGTCATTTCCGATATGAACACAACTCAACGCTCCGGAATGTCGTGCCCCCGGTGATGGTCAAAGATGACCGATCGCTGTGGTCATCATAACCACTATCACAAAGTTTCAGATCCAAACTTCAAATATACGTGACAACCGTAATCATTCATATATCTGTCATTAGGAGGGGCCTCGGTTACTTGATAAGAGCCGATTATCCTCGGACCTTTACGTAATCTGTCGTAATCTCCGACCTGTCAAACGACAAGTCACGTCTCGATGAGAGACCGGCAAGTGCGCCTAAAGAAACATCGGCACGTTCTAAAATCCCCGTGTGATGGTAACTGACTAGATTAGAAACTTTCTGTGAAGCAGGCGTCAATAGAACGGACTCTCCTTTGGGTTGGGAATGTTATTCTTTCACGTTCCTCAAACTTTGCTGACTTGTGACCCATTCAAAACAAAGAAATTCAAACACGTCACGTCGTCTGCATCGCATTTAGAATCCGGAAGTAGACAGTGACATCTAGTGGTTGCCGTGGTTATCTCCCTTTGACCTACAGTGAACAACTCTGACTTGGATTTATAGAAAACTATGCAGATTTAATGTTGGGGTTTGTTGTTGCTGCTAGGATTGTTTTTGTTTTTTTATTGTTGTTTAACGCCGCACTCAGCAATATTCCAACTATATGACGGCGGTCTGTAAATAATCGAGTCTAATCCAGGCAATCCAGTGATTGACATCATGAGCATCGATCCACGCATGGAATCGATGACATGCATCAACCAAATCAACGTGCCTGACCACCCGATTCCGTTAGTAGCCTCTTACGACAAGCATAGTCGCCTTTTACGACAAGCATAGGTTTCTTAAGACTTATTTTTACCCCGGTACTTCACGGGTCTTTTGCTAGGTAGTTTCTGCTGAAACTCCACGTGAATTTTGTAAAACGTCTGCGTAGCTACGCGGGGACTCCGCAGAAGTTTTGTAAAATTTCTGCGTATCTAAGCGGGTACTCAGCGGCTGTATAGTTACGCAAACCCTCCTCAGAACTACTGCGAATTATTCGAGAAAATTTGCTTATTTATGCGAAACTAATTGCCCCTTTTATTAGTTTTATGAAAACATTCGCAAAGGAACTATATGTCTTTTTATGTAGATGACACAAGTACATGTTGACTTCATAGCAGCAGAGGAAGCAGTCAAAGTTCGATTTCTGTACAGCAGAACACGGATATAACGAACACAGATAAAGGGAACAAACGGATACAACGAACTGTTAAAAAATCCCCGATGTATCTCCTATACAAGTCAATGCTGCAATTACGTGTATTGTGTTTTGTTTTTATCCAAGATGGCGGACGTTTCCAAGCGAAAACGTATATAACGAACAACGGATATAACGGACTGATTTCTCTGGTCCCTTGTAGTTATATCCATGTACTACTGTCTTTCAACAGGTGTATGTCACACTGTTTATACAGGACTTTTTGGTCAACTTCCTACTGCCAACCAAACTTCTGCAACTGGCATCTTGAATGTATATTAATTTATTTTATCTTGTCCTTCTTGGTAATATCAAAAAATAAAAACTTCCCATTCCAGTGACGTTGCACTGAGATCAGCAAAATGCTAATGGCGTCTTTAAAAGAAATCTGCGTCGAATCATCTCTATGGTTTCTTTTTGGTATTTACAAATTTTCAGGAATGTGAAGAACAAACCACTTACCCTTCAGATCAGGTACTCTAATTCACACCATGAGTGTTTCAAGATAATGGGTCTCTAATCGCGACCATGGGATTTGAAAACCCAGTCGAGACACCATGCGTGATTATGTACGTGACTCATTAGCTGTAGAAACTGGCTACTTGCACAGGTCTTCACTGGTGTCCTGACGCGTGTCAGATACAGTTTTACAAGAAAATACCGACGTGCTGCGTCAGAAACTGAACTTAGACACATACAAGAAATGTTTTTGAAAAAAGGAAGCCGGGAAATCAATATCTAAAAAAAAGTCCTTTAATATTTCTCACCAAGTCACTTTGACATTTAGAACAAAAAGTCAGAGGACAAACTGACTCTTAAATATAAACAGAGATGAAATGTTCTCAGACAACCAATTGATGTCTAGTTCATTGGATCTTTGATTCATCCAAGAGACACGCAAGGTTGAGGATTTAGGAAACCTGTATTGCCTCTATATGTGCCCATGCACATCGTTTGCATATTTTGCTAATTGAGTGTGATTGGCTTAAGTTAATTTTTGGTTAGGTTCCTCATTATAAAGACCACACTCATTTTAGTCGGTGATTTCAGCAAGTATGCATGGGGAAGTGGGAATGCATTCTGCCCCAGGGTTCTCACGAGGTATGGATGAGTAAATGCTTCTTATGAATGTCTACTATATAAGCTCGTCTCACTTTGATTAGGATGCGATGGGGAAGCCTATAGTGATTAAAGCGTTAACTCCTCACGTCAAAGGTAGGGGTTCGATTCCCAAAGTGCAAACTCGGTTACAATGTGTGAAACCCATTTCTGTTGTCCTCCGTGATATTGCTGGAATAAGATGCTGGATATTGCGAAAACGGCGTTAAGCCATACTCACTCAATCTTTAAATGCCGTACTGACTTGATCGCCATCCTCGACGGGACAAACAGCTGTCTTCACTCTCTGGTGTAAACAGAAAACAGTTAATCTGCGCGCCAAATCTGTGCTTGACAACAATCTGGAGTACAGTTCAAGTAGAGCTTCCTGTCAAATATCTGTCATATTTCTAATTTTCTGGACTTGTTTTAATCAGGGTTCAGCGTGGCCATGTCTTCTTATACAGACATTGATGTGCATTCTGTCCGACGTCTATGCCATAGCCTGTATCATATAAAACACGGTTCTTTCATACCGTTCTACCGTCGAAGGATAAACCTAATTTAGACTGCATGTCCATGACATAATAAACTGCCAGACAAAAGGAGTGAGTGAGTTGGGCTTATCGCCGCTTTTAACAGTATTCCAATTATATCACGGCGTTTACCACTTCGGTGAAACCCACAGGCACGGGTATGGTGCTGACAAACCTTGAAACATAATCGGGGCGAACCGGGATTCGAACCCACAATCATAGGTTTCTGGCGTGCCCAGGGGACGCAACTCTGCACAGCGAATCGCGGCGCCTTAGACGACTGGGCCACCCGTGCCCCCCCGGACAAAAGGAAGTCTACACCATGTTTGATTGTGTCAGAAAATGAAATAGACAAGAAATGGTTATTCGATAGTGATGTATTTGATACGGATATCAAAGTTTTGTTTTGGTAACTGTTTTCAGCCTATAGTAACGATTGAATAACGTTTGTAATGTTTTGGTCAAATCCAATTTTCAATCATATGCTTACTCTTGCCCGTCAATAAATGAAGAGCTTAGAGCTGAAAGGGGCCAAAATGCACTTTGGCCATTTTTGCATATTATTACATAAATAACATCTATGAGTTCTTGTCTACCTGTAGTAAAAATATTGTATGTTTCAATGATTGGGCCAAAGTCAAGTTTCAAAAGGGCCAAAGTTACTTTGCTAGATTGCGGCCCTTTTAGCTCTCATTTCCGTGTGTTGAGATTTGTCACCTTATTATCATGTTTCAATTATTTCAACAAAGTTGACATTGGTTTAATCATTTAAGAGTATTCAACAATATGTGTTTGTACTTTCAGTAGTAGTTTATCAGTCTCACATGTTAAATCCCATGCAAATGCCTGAGGGTAAAAAAGGGGAAAAATACAGACATTGGCCCTTATGGCTCTTAGCTCTTCAAATGTAGCATTGGTGTATTTTCGCGGTAGCTCTAGCAGAAGTCTATCTGGTTACAAAACACAAACTCACCTGTCGATGTCATTGTATTTCATAAATTAATCTTCTTGTTAGTTTGTTCATGTTCATGCACGTGCGTTTCAATATATTTCGTAAAGAACGTGCAGGACATTTGCCTACGCTTAAAGTAATATGGATTGATGAGATATGGTAATTGAATCACGGACAGTAGAATTATTTCTGTTAGAACGTATTCAGGTCACATAACAGAATGCTGCACGTGCATTTCACGTAAAACATGCACGTCACGTATCTGCGTTTTAAATGATATAGAAGCAATGTGAAAGTAAATTATTGGGTTTTCAAAGTTGTCGCATTGTTTTCAACACCGATGTGAATCAGGGTCCCTTCCACAGGGTCTTAATTGTTTTGTTAGTATTTCATATGAGCCATGATGCCCCTAAATGATCACACTTCAGGGGGCACGGGTGGCCCAGTCGTCTAAGACGCCGCAATTCGCTGTGCAGAGTTGCGTCCCTTGGGCACGCCAGAAACCTTTGATTGTGGGTTCGAATCCCGGTTCGCCCCGATTATGTTTCTAGGTTTGTCAGCACCATACCCGTGTCCGTGGGTTTCACCTAAGTGGTAAACGTCTAAGACCTGCATCACTTGGGGCTTTCCTCCAACATTAAGCTAGCTGACACGCCGTGATATGACTGGAATAATGTTAAAAGCGGCGTTAAACACAACTCACTGTCCTGATCACACTTCATACTATACTTAGGAGAAAGAAGGCCGATGTTATTTTAGTGATTTACTATGCATTTAAATGTACAAAATATCTCTTTTAATGGACAACAAAAATATAATTCTCTTTCCATGATGCTAATATACATGCAGGAACTTCAAACTTCTGAAATGTTTGAAGCACGTGGTATGTTTTTATATGATTCGTTGTTTGTTTTTTAATTCCACACGCAGCGATATTCCAACTACATAATGTCAGCCTGTACATAATCGAGACTGGGCCAGATAAACCAGTCGTTTATATCACAGCAACGTCCCACGCAACCAAGTCACCAAGCCTGACCAGGGATCGATCTATTGAGCATATAAGTTACTAGGGTTACTGTATGTTTGCTTTGGGCAATATATAGTTTAATTTCACAAAAATACTAGAGAACCAATTGTCAGACTTTTGGAAGCCTCAGTGACTGAGAAAGTTAGGTAGCTGACTTTGCTCGCGATTATGTGCCTTACTATGTGAGTGTGGGTTCGAATCCCGGAGGGGATTACACTAAAAGAAGTACTAGAATTTGTACTTTACTCAAGGAAAGCGTAATCCCAAATATAACAAACGTTACATTTGACCTCTTTCTGAAAGACATTGTCCATTCACAGTCGTACATTGTATTTGTACTTACCAATTACCCACTTAGTTTGTTTTGTTTGTTTAATGCCGCACTCAGCAATATTCCAGCTATATGACGTCGGTCTGTAAATAATCGAGTCTGGACCAGACAATCCAGTGATTGACATGAGCATCGATCCACGCGATTGGGATACGATGACGTACCTCAAACCAAGTCAGCGAGCCTGACCTCCCAAAACAGCAGCGTATATAATATAATTACATATAGTACTTAATATAAGAATAAGAATAAGAATGCCATTCATATTGCGCTACATTTCCATACCACACAG